CTCCATTTGTTTTCTTAACAAACAGAATTTGATTGCCGAGTTATACATGAAATGATGAGTCTTTTGTGTTTTATTTCTATCAATAGGCACAGAGATCTGTCCCTCTGCCACGAAGACGTTGTCTTATATGAGAGTCATATTTCAGCAAACATAATTAAACCATCACAAACAGAGTCTTCCATTAGTCAGACCAGAGTTATTGTTGTTGTGCTTTAGACACGTAAGAAAGTATTTCAGTCTGCTGTGGGGAAAGAAAGACCACTAAATATTTCATGGCTTTTTCCAGATCAGATTGTTTATTTCTCAACATTTTAAAGAGATACTTAATTTTTCTCGACAGCTATTTTTGTCAACACTTTAAGAAAAATGGATATTAAGGACAAAATTTGCATGGGATGCCAAGAGCGGCTATTTTTTTCCTGGAATGATGCTTCCTGGATGCATAAAAATAAATATCATACTGTTCTCCAGAAATGTCCTTGGCATTTGATGTGATCTCTAAAGCTACATTCTGGTAATGTTCCACGTCTAAGGTTTCAAGGAGAGGGAGAAATCATATTTTGATTGGTGTCGTTCAATGTACGTTTGTGTTTCATGAGAAAATAAAAGCAGACACTAGAGGGTGCTGTTTGATCTTCTTTCTCACCGAGGTGTGCCGCAGATGCCCGTGATTCAGGGCACTGAAAAATGCCATCGTGTTCTCCTAGCCAGGACCAAATTGCAGTGCAATACAAGATGTAGACATCCCTGAGTTCAAGGAGAGAGGCCAGAAGGTTCATAATGGTGTAGATGCTAAATTAATTCAGAATTAGTAAAGAAGTAATTATTACTCTAACCCTCTATGATTGTCATTTTTTTAATATAATTACTTAATTTTCTTGGTTGAAAGAAATTTTATTAGACTTCAAGCTCTCACTAAATGTCAAATGTTCTAAAAATAGCTAGAATATTAGACAATGTGAAACAATTCGTGCTCAAGGTTTGGCACTAGGGTTTTGAATAGAGTGCATACTTACTACTGGTTAAGAAACTAATTATAGAATTCCCAATTGTCAGAAATGCCAGACCCCAGGATGTTGTTTCTTTTGATATCAGAGAAATACCAAGTTAATAGCATTCCTAATTAGCTTCCCTTTTCACCTTTGCTAAGCATGTGCTTTCTTTCACCCACCCTTTCTTGAGCTTTCTTGAGGCAAATCTTTTTGAGTGGCAGGAGAAGACAATGTTCTGGAGTTCTCTAAATATATGCTATCATACGGTTTATGTTTGTATCCTGTCATTTTCTAAGAATATTTTAAAAGAAGCTTACTGTTCTCATTTTATAGAGAGGAAAGTTAAGGTATTGTGATATGGAATGATTTGTTTCAAGCAGAGAATTAAATTAGCACTGTAGAAGGGTCAGGACCATCTCCCAGCTCTTCTTGCAGACAGTCAGCTAAGGGACCTGTTCGTTTTTAGTTCCATAGATAAATGTTTCTCCTTAATACAGATAGGCATGATTGGTTCAAAGACTACTTGGCAGCCATCACCACAGATTTCCAGTTCTTCTCCCTCCCAGGCTACAGGAAGTTCACAATGCCCTCTCTCTGAACGTTAGTTCTGGCCATGTAACTTACTTTGGTCAGTGAAATGGGAATAGACATGTTGGGTCTCTTATGAGGTGTGGTTTCCTACACTCTCTCCCCTTGCGGAGGTGAGCCCCGAAGTCTCCTATGGAGCTGGCAGCAACAAAAGGTAATAAAATATCGAGAAATAACAAGTGTTGGCAAGGATGTGGGGAAAGGGGAACCCCTGGCTGTTAGGAATGTAAATTGGTGTAGTCACTCTGGAAAATTGTATGGTGATTCCTCCATAAACTAAAAATAGAACCACCACAGGATCCAGCAATTCTACTTCTGGGCATTTATCCAAAGGAGATGAAAAGACTAACTTGAAAAGATATCTGCACCCCTATGTTCATTGCATCATTATTTACAAAAGTCAAGATATGGAAACAACTAAATATCCATCAGTGGAAGAGTGGATAAAGGAGATGTGGTACATACACATACAGTTGGACACGACTGAGTGACTGAATATACACACGCACACAATGGAATATTATTCGGCTATAATAAAGGAAGGAATCCTGCCATTTGCAATAACATGGATAGACCTTGAGGGATTATACTAAATGAAATAAGTCAGACAGTGAAGGACAAATATATTGGGTTAGCCGAAAAGTACATTTTCCATAACATCTTATGGAAAACTGGAACTTTTTAGCCAACCAATAGTATGGTCTCATTTATTGGGGAACCTAAAAAATATAACAAAAAAAAATATAGAATAGACTGGTGGCTCCTAGAGACAGAGTGAAATGGTTGAAGAGGGTCAAAATATATAAACTTCCAGTTACAAAATAATTATGTCCTGGGAATGTAATGTACAGCATGGTAACTATAGTGAATAACTGTACTTTATATATGAAAGTTAGAAGAGTAGATCTTAAAAGTTCTCGTCATAAGATAAACATTGCAACCATGAATGGTGATGGATGTTAACTAGTCTTAGTGATGATCATTTCCTGGTATATACATATACTGAATCATTACAGTGTATACCTGAAACTAACATAATGTTAGATGTCAATTATATCTCCGTAAAAACGTGATTCTGACACAGGAACAGAAAAATAACCAATGGAAGAGAATCAAGAGCTCACAGAACCTCAGAGACTAAAGCTGATTATGCTAAAGGTGGTACTGCAGTCCTATGAAGAAAGAATACGTTGCTCAGTAAAAATGAGAGGAAAAAAAAAGCTAATGAAATCTCCATCCACCACTACCTCCCAGGATGGAATTAAGGATCAGAGCCCCCTGATGTGAGCAAGAGAGAAACCTTTGTTGTTTAAGCCACTTAGACTCTGGGGTTTTCCATTAGGCCTCCATACCTACCTTATCCTGATGATAAGTGAGGATGTCAACCCTCTGTGAGAAAACCAGAGGCCAAGAATCAAAGTGTGGCCAGAAAGGATTTAATTAAAAATATTAAAAAAATTATAGTCTTTAATTTAGAAATTCCTAGTGACTTTGATACGAAGATCAATAAAGAGAAGTTATTACATGGGAAAATATTTCCTCCTTACATGTCTTCAGTTTAAAATTTGTCTAAGGAAATCATGTGTTAGTTGCTTGTGACCCATGGACTGTGGCCCTCCAGGCTTCTCTGTCTGTGGGATTCCCCAGGTAAGAATACTGGAGTATTCTTGCTGTTCCCTTCTCCAGGGGATCCTCCTGACCCAGGGATCGAACCCGGTCTCCTGCATTGCAGGTGGATTCTTTACTGTCTGAGCCACTGGGGAAACCCAATCAGGTAGAAATAAATCAATAAATAAATGTTACTGTGTTCAACTCAGAATCTGATTGCGAAAACCTACACCTTAGGCTCTGGAAATGAGAATTGAACATTAGCTCTAAAGCTGCTGATCTTGAAGTGGGGGAACTCTGGAGCTGAGGATTTTCATGTGAAAAAAGAACATGTGCATAACATCAATTTCCATCACGGTGAGGAAGAAGTACTGCATCTCACCTCAAATGGGCAGTTCATTCCTTAATCCATCTCAATGTTCAGCATTTTCCCAAAAGATCCTAAAATGTCCAAGTTGAAGCAGAGGCATATTTTTCTCCATCAACACCACTTGTCTTCCTGGCTGCCCAGCAGCTATGACTGCCAAGCTGGAGCCTGCAGACCCTCCTGGGGGCTGAGAGAGCAAAGCTGCTCGGCCCAGACTCAGCCTACACCCCACTTCTTCAGTCCAGTGACAGCGACAGCCTTTCATAGGCAAGACAACAGGAATCATCCTCACACTCAGAGCCAAGGACACTAGGATTTTTGCTCAGTGTTTCCCAGAGGTCCCAGGCAATGGCAGAAATACCCTCAGCTTCAATCCAAAACAACTTCAAAATGAACTGGAAGTGGTGTTACTTTGTTTTTAACCTTAAAAAGAGAGGCACCCCAGGGATGTATTTACCAGGCCCTCCACTTTGTAGTTAATTAGAGTAAATGTGGGGTTTTGTATCATGTACAAAAGAGGCCACTGCCTGCTTCTCTCCTACTCAGCACCTTACTGAACGCCCCGCTAATGCTCTGTCAGAACAAACAGCCACATAACAAAATGCATAGGAGCTCTGGCCAGCAGGGCTGACCTGCTCCAACCGATGCTGCTCTAGCTGCCTCTTTGTTTATATCAGAGGATGCTATTTGGTGTGCAAAGCTTAACATCGATATGAATGATTCTGGCCACCGAATAATGAATACAGAATAATTGAACACAGTTTATTTAAGCATAAAACATATTAAAAATTATTCGGTTGATTTGTAAAAGAGAAGAGCCTGGGTCTGAAGGGAAGGATGGGGGGTGGGGTTCCCCAGGTCAGCAAACAATACACGAGGTGGACACTCGCCCTGGCAGGACTGGCGGACTCGAGGGCAGGGCGGGCGGGGAGAACGCAGGAGCATGGGAGGTCAGACTCTTCCAAACATCGGAGGGACCCCTCAGAGGGAGTCGAGCCTTCCAACCACTGCTTCTCAATGCTCACTATCATTCCACCAGGCCCGCCCTCTGTAAAAACTATGATCCAGACACAGCGCTGGATCTACTGGTGGGGTAGGTTTCTCTGGTTAGATTTCCAGGTAGACTTGTCTCACTAGAATTTTTTCCTTTACTGGATTTTCCTGTGAACCCAAGGTTCCTAGTGACAAACTGTTTGGAAATATTAGGCAAGATACATGTTTTCCACAGCTGACTTTTAGAAGCCGGGTTGCATACTCTGAAAGTGGGGGGCGGGGGTGGCATGGCTTTTCCCTCTTTTCTGGAATTCTGACCATATGGGGGAGATGGTATCACTTTGAGACTGTGGACAATTTCAAATAGGTTCTGACTTAAGGGCACACACCTTATCGCCTACAGGGGGTCAAAGTAAGTAAATTACAGTACTTTATATATAACCTTGAGTGAATTATGAGGTCGTGCCTGACTTATAGACAAAATGCCATAATGAAATCTGGGTCATGACGAGAAGCAGCATCCAAACTTGAAGTTCGATGGAAGAATTAGAGGCTGTGAACAGAAAGAGAGACATAGTAAGTCCTATGAAAAAATGTACCTGCTTGACATGGATCAGCCGTCCTGGTGGATTCAAATAAAGGCACCTGCTTTATTCAATGCCAAGAACCCACTTTCTCCAAATGGACTTGACTGTGGCAGCAAGGAAGTGAAATTAACTCAGCCTCTAGATGAATCCTGCTAATTCAAAGGGTACCAGGGAAACCCGGTAGCTAAGGCTACTGCACTAAAGTGTGTTTGATGAATCACACACCCCAGTCTTAGACTTGGGGGCCAGATTTAAGGTCAATACTTGATTCTTAAATGCCTGGATATGTGTGTGTGTTCAGTCGCTCAGTCATGTCTGACTCTTTGCGACCCCATGGACTATCGCCCTCCAGGCTCCTCTGTTCATGGGATTTGTCAGGCAAGAATACTGAAGTGGGTTGCCATTTCCTCCTCCAAGGGATCTTCCTGACTCAGGGATCGAACCCTCGATTTCCGTGTCTCCCACATTGGCAGGTGGATTTTTTACCACTAGTACCACCTATTATAGGGAAGCCCTATTAAATGGCTGGATAATTTTCTTAAAAAAAAAAAATTTTCCATCTTTTAGATTAAAGATCAGGTTTAAAAATAAAAAGATCCTCATATCCCTTGAGTGGGCTTCCATGGAGGCTCAGCGGTAAAGAATGTACCTGCCAATGCAGGAGACGCGGGTTCAATCCCTGGGTCAAAAAAAATCCCCTGGAGAAGGAAATGGCAACCCATTTAGTATTCTGGCCTGGGAAATCCCATGGACAGAGGCACCTGGAAGGCTACAGTCCATGGAGGTGCAAAAGAGTCAGACATGACTTAGTGATGCAACAACAACAATAAATTCTTTGGGTGTTTGCTTCGTCTTTCCTTCTTACTTCCCAGAAGTCTCACAGGTCAGCTGCTGACCCACTGGGCCTTGCATTGGAATGTCTCCTTCTTGAAGTCAAGAACTTCCTGTGTCCCTGGCTGCCTGCCCGGAGGCTGTGTGCTCACCTCGGCAGCTCTTGCCATCCTCCTGCAGGGTGCCCGTCACGCAGCTGCACAGAGGCCCATCCACCCGGCTCGTGCAAATCTGCTCACAGCCTCCATTGTCCTCACACCAGTCCAGCCCTGAAAGACAGCCCTGGAAAAGTTACCTGCAGACAGTCTAGCTCTTCAACTCATATCTATGGGCAAGGCTTTACAGAGAGGAGTGGCAAGGGAAAAGGCCTAGTACTGTCATGCGTTTTTAGTAGTCCATGAAAGGATGTCACTATGGACACCTGTGATTATGGCAGCCTTTGCAAACTGGGGTCCCCAAACAGGTGTCCTCAAGCTCCTGGTTCACCAGGTTCACATCATAGGCACAACACACCCCAGAGTCAGCCTGAATCTTCAAATCCCTTTGTTTTAATCATTTATAGTGTTTTAGGGAACATACATACTTTTTCTCCTAATAGGTCCCACTGAAATGATCTGTTCTTTAGGTTCCTTGCTATAATCTGTGGCAGTCCTGGAGTTTTGAGGGCAAGTCTGAAAGACAGAACACCAAAGGGAACATTTCACACAATTAAGCTGATAACTTATTCTTCACCACATCCTCACCTCCAAAAGAGGCAGGGGCTCAGCCTGGAGCTCTATTGCAGCTCAGATTAATTAGAAGCAATGTATTCTTGATCATTGAACCCCCTGGGACTTGGGGCTTTATGTTGAACAGAATTTAATATATTCTCTACACTAGAATTAGATTCAAAGAGGCTCCCTTCCTAGGAAGGAGGATCCTGTATCAGATCAGATAGTAATGTATAGACCAGCATCGGTCAGCAGCTCGGGCCATCGCCTACATCTTAATTCTGCCAACATGTTGCTGTTCAGTAGCTCAGTCACGTCTGACTCTTTTTTGTGACCCCCGTAGACTTTCAGGCTCCTCTGTCCATGGGATTTTTCAGGCAAGAACACTGGAGTGGGTATCTTGCCATTTCCTCCTCCAGGGGATCTTCCCAACCCACGGATGAAACCCTCGTCTCCTGCATGGGCAGGCAGGTATTTTACCACTGAGCCACCTGGGAAGCCATCTGTCAACATGAGGTGAGGGTAAAGCTGCAATGTCAAGGGTTAGGAGCCAGGGACCAGCACAGAAAAACCTTAGGGACATAGCTGTACATGGTGGAGATATAAGCCTGGCGTGGACCAGATGATGATTTGTCACCTCATCTGTGAGTCCCTCAGAGCCCCAGGCCCAGAGCATGGATCTGGATAATCTGTGGGACAGCTCCTGTCTAAAGGAGACCTGGATAAAGTACATACTGAGCCTGGGGGTGTGCTTCCAAGTGGAGGAGAGCTTGCCCCCAGCCTTCACGTCAGAAGCAGGTGACTTGGCTCCTTGAGGCTCTGGCATAGTAGTTCTCAAATAGGGCCAGTTTTTCCCCGAGGGGACACTGGGCAATTCCAGGAGGCATTTCAGCTGTTGTAAGAGGCGTCTGGTGGGTGGAGGTCAGAGATGTGCTGAACAGTCAACAGAGCACAGGGCAGCCCCACAGCAAAGAATCATTTGGTCCAAAATGTCAGTAGCGCTGAGGTTTAAGAAACCCTGGCCTAGTGTGACACCAACAACAGACTGACATTTCAGAGAGAGGAGTAAACGGTCATCATTCTACCCTGCTCTCTTATTGTTCCGGCACAGATGGCTATCACTCCTGGGCATCTGAAGATGGTTGTTATTCAGCCACCACCAGGTGCCTTGAGCCCTAAAAAAGAACCTCTAAAGAGCGACCCAACTTGGCGTTCACCATCCCCACGAGGGGAAATCTGAGGCTGTGAGAAATAAAGATGCGCGTTGAATTTCCACACCCTCACTTACTATTTTACAGGAGTACTTTTCTGAATCGCAGAGGGACACGGCACAGTGTAGGTGGACTTCATCATAATCCCCAATGAACTTAAAGACCGTGACATGGAAGCGGCAGGTGAGGGAGACGCCATTCTCCTCGATGCCAATGGTGTTGTCTTTAATGTTCTGACACCTGTTCAGAAAGAAAGGGACTCTCTGCTTCACACGTTCATGTCCCACACAAAACCATCACGCATGGTAAAAATGCCTTTGAGTTTGAAAGTGACCTCTGGAGTGTGTAGGCTTGTCATTTGTTAGGACTCCCTTACAGTTTCATCGTTTGTTGGAAAAGGGTCAAATAGCGCCTCAAATTAGCATCTTAACTGCAACTAAAGACAAAACGACCGGAGGGCCTGTACTCAATTTCCCAACACGTCAGTTTCTCATCCCTCTCCTTCAGAATGCTGTGTTTTATGGATATCAGTTAAACAAACACAAGATGAGCCCCTATGTCTTCTGTACTTTCTCAGTTAATTAACAATTTGGGGAGGGGCCCTTTTTTCAAGCTCTATTGGGAAGTCTCCCTATGAGTGAGAGCGCGTGGGAGCTGGGGAAGACAGACAGCTGGAGGGACCACCCTCCTCTCCTCTTTGCAGTCCTGAGCCAACAGGCAAGGGACGGAGGTATCTGCCTCCACTCGCTGGCGTTCCCCAAATGGACCGCAGTCTCCTATGCCCCAGGGTCTTTTCACATGCTGTTTCCCCACCTGGAAGCCTCTCTGCACGTCTAACTAACCCTGCTTTCTCCAATGCCCGTCTGTGGTTCCCCCTCCAGCATAAGTATGCCCTGACCAGGCAGGAACAAGTGGCCTTGCCTGAATTTGCCGACAACACCCTGCTGAGCCCCTGGGGAACATGAACCAAGGTGTAATTGTCACTGTGTCTCCAACACACTGATGGGCATGCAGTAAGTATTTCAAAAGAAGAGGTGGTACATATATACAATGGCATATTACTCAGACATTAAAAAGAATGAAATAATGCCATTTGCAGCAAATGGATGGACCTGGAGATTATCAAACTAAATCAGTCAAAGAAAGACAAATATCATATATTTGGAATTATATGAGGAATATGAGGAATCTAAAGGAAATTCCTATATGAGGAATCTAAAAAAAAAAAAATGATAAAATGGAAGTTGACTCACAGACTTAGAAAAAGAACTTACGGTTACCAAATGGGTAGGGTGGGGGGAAGAGAGAGATTGGGAGTTTGGGGTTGACATGTACACACTGCTGTATTTAAAATACATAATCAACAAGGACCTACTGTAAAAAATAAATAAAATTTTTAAATAAAAAAGAATATTTAGATGCTGTATAGTCAAACTCATACAAATATTTGCCTGAAAACTAAAACCTATGACACATCTTTTAACTCCAAGAGAACGTTTTTCTCTCTCTCTCTGTGTATACACAATTATACATAAATTGTATTTTTACTTTTGGAACATTACAGGATTAACTCTCAGAACTGTTTTCTTTGAAATGTAGTGTTAAAATTATACTTAATTTTTATACCCCCCAAAAACTCTGGAAATAATCAGTGAAGGAATGAATGAATTGTGCTTCCATGTCCAAGAATGGCCCATGGCAGCCAAGAAGCCCTTTAAAAAATCTAATCAAGATAAAAAGGGTAGATCTCCTCCTTACGTTTTCTTCCCCTGGCCCACAGAATTCAATCATTTAGTGATAAGGAAAATTTTAAACTGATGTTATTCTTCAGGATCCCCACACCTGCTCAGTCTGGTAATTCAGTGTGTAAGGCGATAGTTTCCTAAAAACCTTGAAACAAAAACTTACTAGTGTACTTTTCCTTGTCACTGTGACAAGGATTATCTGAATAATCTAAATTGGTTCCAAGGGTTCTACAGTGTTCTCAGCCCTTGGTCTTCATGGAGCTCCTCCCTCCTTTTTTAAAAAAAATATTTATTTGGCTGTGTCAGGTGTGAGTTGCAGCATGTGGGATCTTCTACCTTCCTCTCGGCATGCAGGATCTTTAGTTCTGGCATGTGAGATCCAGTTCCCTGACAAGGGATGGAACCCAGGCCTCCTGCACTGAGAATGCGGAATCTTAGCCACTGGACCACCAGGGAAAGTCCCCAAACCTTCCCTCTTAACTAGACCCCCAACTCCCAGAGAGATGATCTGAGATTTAAGTGTCAGAAAAACAGAAAGCAGAAGGAAGGGGCCTTGGGAAGCAGGGACAGGCTGTCTGGATGTTGCCTTAGGGGGCAAACAAACTGAACACTAGGATCCTTTGTCCACAATCGGAAGGACGGTGTCCTTTCCTCCGTCTGGGCATACAAAGAGAAGAGAGAAGTGACTTTCATGTGCTCAGACCTTCGCATCACTGGTAGACAGTGGTGGCATCTCTGCGCCCCCACCCTGTGTAGCTGGAGAGAAGTAGCTGACCCCCCCACCCCCAAATTCCAATGCAGAACCATTCTGTTGCTCAGTCATTCCGCACTGAGCATCAGTTTTTCCATAAGCTCACTGGAAAAAAAAAGAAAAAACAATAACCACATTCCCCCAAGAAAGGTCAAAAGGACTCATGAATTAAAATTCTCTCACATGATGAAATTACTTCTCATCCAACAACAGTTTAATTTGAAGACCTTCATCCAGACCCTGGGGGAAGCTGAGATTTATGAATGTGCTCACTTACTCTCCCTCTCTGGGTCAACTCTATTAAATGCTATTTAAAAAATGCTAAATGCCAAAGTGTCCTTCAAAGGCGGCCCGAGCCCACCCACCACGGTTTATACAGTGGCTCAAATCATAGCCCTTTTACTTTGGGAGAAAAGACCATGATGAGGTGGGGAGCAAGGGAACACATGGAGAAAGAGACCTGTTACATTAGCCTGAGCATCTGGATCTGCAAGATACCATGTAATCCTCAAGCCCTTCCCTCCGCCTCCAGGGAGGCTACAACTCAACCCAGAAAGCTAGTGCCTTAATGAGGCCTTTGCCAAAAATCCCATTTGACGCCTTAGTAACCCAGGCCACAAGCCACACTTGGCCAGGTAGGGAGTTGATGCATCTTGGTACCTGAAAGATTCTTCCTCTGCCCCTTGCTGGTTAGGTAGCCTTGGGTGAGCTGTATTCAGGCTCTGAGCCTGTTCATCTGCAAAACAGTGGATGTTTATTGTTTGTCTGCCTAGAAGCATAGTCTTCTTTGGGGGGATTATTCCTTCCCTCCCCAATTTCATGGCTAATTATACCCTATCCATAGCACCCCAGAGAAGGATGCTGACTCAGGCCTGAGATAGGGTTCAAGAAACACTATTCCTAAATCTGGCACCTTGAATATTTTCTTTTTTTTCTTTTTAACCTTGAATATTTTCAACTCAAGGAGTTTGAGAAAAATGACAGAATCAGGAAGGTCACTCTTCTCCCCGGAAAGAGGCCATAAAACTCTCCTGTGAGAGGTACAATAGAGGAAAGGAGCATTCTTATCTCCAAAGTCAAGGGGGTGCTGAGAAGAGTCTGAAGAGCCTGGCCAAGATTTCCCTCAGTTCACTACAGTGACCACACACGGCTGACCTATCACATCTGCAACTGTCCACTCTGTCAAACGGGGCAAAACGATACTCAGTTTAAACAATTCCTTAGAGTCTCCATCTCCTTATGAAGACTCCCATGTCATGTAAAATTTATATTAAATAAATGTGTATGCTTTTCTCCTGTTAATCTTTGCCCATATAATTTTCAGACCCAGCCAGGAACCCTAAGAGGGTCAAAAAAACTGTCCTCCCCAACACCAGGCACTTTAATGTTGCATCTTCCCCAAACGAAGGAGAGGGAATCTATCCAAGAAAAGCTAATCATACTCCTTCTCAGGGATTCCCTGAATTGGGATTAGAAGGAATGCTCATCCCTGGGGGTTACAATGCTGAAAAAATGCCGGTGTCTAATGAGGACAATGAGAAAGACAGAGACAATGATAGAAACAGAGAGACAAAGGATAGAGGGAGGGAGGGAGTGTTGACAGCAACTGGCCCCCTGAACCCAATTATTCCTGAAGCCACATCTACTTATGTGATTCGGTTTTGTAAATGTTAAGTAGTTTGTTTTTGCATAAACTTATTTGAAATGATCTCTACCACTTATAAAAGAAAGAATTTTGATTAATACAGTCATCTGCTTTTAAGAATTCATGTACTAGGGTGATGGAAATGTTCCAAAATTAGATTATGGTGATGGTTGCACTTCTCTGTAAATTTACCAAAAATTGTTGAATTTTACACTTAGAGCAAATGCATTTTATTGCACATAAATTATGTATGCAATAAACCTGTTAAGAAATTATTGTTGCTTGACAAAACCACTAAGTGTTTTTAAAAAATAAAGATAATTATCATGATTGTTGATTGGTTCATAGTCTTTTCTTCTTTTTCACTCACCCATTCATTCATTCAATAATTTTGTTGCATAACCACTATTTTTCAGGAAATATACTAGGTGCTGGGCACATACTGGTGAGTAGAAAAACTCACCTACAGGCTATTAATCCAATTCCTTTTAAATTTTGATAGATGCATTATTCACCAACTTTAGTAATTCTCATTACCTCCTTTCATTTGTAGATTTTGATCCACATTTGATTCACATTCAACTCAGATTGAAATTCGAAGTAGTCAGGACAGAATGCCCTGTTTGATCACATTGAGAATAGAGTATTTTATAGTTAATGCCACAGAAAACTGGTGATCTACCACTAAATTGTTGTGTGACTTCAAGAATTGCTTGATCTCACTAAGCCTCAGCCTTCTCGTCTATAAAAAAGGAGCTTATCATACATTGTCGTGAGGATTAGATAGTTCTTGGGTCCAAAATGCTGGTTGTGCAGTAGTCAACAAATGTTAGTTACCATTCTCTTCCCTAAAAAAGATGTAGACAAATCTAACACTAAAGGCTCTGAGACTGTCCTTCGAGAAGAGGCTACCCACCCTCCTTCAATGATGAAGTATCGGAGCTTGTCGTTGCTGTCACGGGATGGGGTGGCGTAGCATTTGTCCAGCGTCAGAATGAGATGTGTGGCGTCAGCTCCGACCACAAAGACCCCAACGTACAGCACATCTCGAGTTGTCAGCACAACTTCACCCTGGCGGTAAGGATGTTTGTAGGAGGCGTTTTTGTAGAGCGCCATCTTGGTGGTGAAGCTGCCTTCTTGAGTTGGGACCGTCAGGTTAATGACACTATAAGGGAAAAAGTTGTGGACTTAAAAAAATATTCACAACCTAAAAGTTGAGAGTTATGTTTTATTTGGTGGGAAATTGTAGGACTTCAAGTGACCCGGACAGAACTGCTCCAAGAATGGGAGGGGAGGGGCCAGGTTATACAGAAGTTTTGCAACAAAGGGCCGGTAATCTGAACATCCAAAAATTATTGTTAATTAAAGAAAACCAGATATCCCAAGTTAAGGAATTTAGTGCTTTTCTATGTATGGGAAGATGCAAGAGTCTGGGCTCACTGAAATCATTCCTTGGATATGCACCTCAGCTATCTGGGGCCAGTATCTCCTGTTTTCTCATCTTAAGCTTCTTTTTCTCAGGGCTGAACTTAGGGAGTGGCTACAGTCTGGTGGCTGTTAAGACGGCAGGTGTTCTTTCCTTCCCGAGTTGCCTCAGGTCTCATCAGCTCACCATTCATGGTGGCTGCCATCGCTGATGACTGCGACATCCTTTGTTTACTGACATGGCAGGAAATATTCCGGTTCTCACAGTCATGAGTAGGGAACCCCGAACAATGTTATCGATCCAATTACCTACCATTTTCCAAGCTGAAAATGCAGAGGGAAAGCCAAGGAAGAGAGAATTCAAGTCTAATAGGCTACACGTGGCCATTAAAATTAAACTAAAAATTCACTTCCCCAGTGCCCCTCTACCCTGGCACATTTCAAGTGCTCAGTGCCCACATACAGCTATTGCATTGGACAGGACAGATATGGGACATTTCCATCCCTGTAGAAAGTTCTATCGAACAGCACTGGTGTCAGACATCTGAGTTCAGAAAACATGAATTACTCTTTCCTAGTGCTTCAAAGACAGACGCTAGCAGTTTTGATTAGGCTAACCTTAACTGTCAAGGAAAAGACAGAGCGATGTGCACAGCCCGTGAGATTCTCTACCTTAGCATAGGCTTCACAACGGAGTCCAAGGAGATCTTGATATCCAGCTCATAAGCGCATGAAAATTCCACACTGATTGTCCTGTCCCTGGTGATGATGTTGCCAGTGTTGTTGGCGCTCTCTATCCAAACAGTATTTTTATACATGATATGAGTGCCATTGGACTGCAGAGCAAAGGAAGGTCAAAAGTCATTAAATCTGGGTGGGAGTATGTGGCTTGCATTTTAAGTCCATGGGCCTGAAAATGGAGAAATGGCTTCATTCCATATGTAACCCAGAGGCCAGGATAAATCAGGATGGAGCTAGTCTCAGCATTTAGTAAGGAAAAAAAAAATTAAATGGGTGGCAACAGCACTCTTCAGTCTGATAACTGTGAATGCCCAACAAGGGTGATTTCATGTACCACTGAATTCTAAGTACTACCAGCCCCCAGTTATCTGTGGGAACCCAAGCTGGGGACAGCATGAAGTATTGCCATCCCAAGGTAATATACATATCATCTTTCAATTCTTAATTCAAAATCCCCCCTCTGTCAAATCTTGTACCAGGCATGCCCACAAGGTCCAAAATGGATATATGCATGTTTTACCATCTTGCTCCTTTCACCCGCTGATTAAGAAGTGTTAATGAACACAGTTAACAAAATATATATTACCATATGTAAATTAGATAGCCAGTGGGAATTTGCTGTGTGACACAGGAGCTCAACCCAGTGTTCTATGACAACCCGGAGGGGCAGGGAGTGGAAGGTGGAGGAAGTTTCGAGAGGGAGGGGACATACGTATATCTGTGGCTGACTCATGTCAATGACTGGCAGAAACCAGCACAATATCGTAAAGCAAATATTTTTCAATAAAAAATTTAAAAAAAAGAAAAAGATGGCAGGAAGGCACAGGAGGAAGAGAAGTGAGATGCTTTGCTAACCTAGAAACTGGATAGCGCAAGACAAAAAGTTGTGACCTTGCTATATTTCTGCAGCCAACTGTTTAATGATGTCTGGGACACCCTTGCCCCTCAAAATAGCTGAACCCAGCTGTCTTTACCTGGAAGAATAAAAGCATGAAAGAGATAAAAACATGTGTCAACATTCAGGGCAAAGGATGACAGCAGACAGGGCAAAGCAAGGCAGGAAGTATGTCACTTATCTTGCTTTCACTTCAATCAACCACTTAGCACTCAATGATGGGTGTCTTTTGCTGTTTTCCAAGGAGCATGTTTCTAAGTTAGACCCCTGAAGCTGGCTTAAGGACGATCAATGTGCAAACGTCCAGAGTTGTCACCACCAAGGCCGGGTGCTCTTTCTGGCCCCTGTTGCTCACCTGCACAATGTTTCCACAGTTCCCTTTGGTGTTGTTGATCTGAAAGGAGATAAAGTCCTCGCCCTCAATGCCGGTGCACTGCCTGTCATTGACCCGCACGCCCTCCCTCTCGAAGCCGAGCTGGAAGAGCTTGCACTTAGATATGGACACTTCCATCTGAGACGCCTTGCAGGTCACCTCTGCATCAATGATGTCGTGGGAGTCTGTGGGGACACAGGTATTATGAAAGGTGAGTCACTGGGAGCTCCCCTTGCTGCGGGAGTGGGCGTGGTACTCTGTCCTCTTCAGAAGAGGCTTGATGATCTTCACACAGAGGCTTTGGCATATCTAACAAAGCTCTGATCAATCTCAATGAGTATATGAAGTCATTCAAAGCAATAACCTGAGTAATGCTAGAGACTTTTTTTAAAAGATGAAAATGCTATACAAAGCATCTTTGGTCCTTTCTTCTTAAACCCAGGATTCCTGTCCCACTCTGGTAGTAGCTACTCTTGTAAGCTCCATACCGTGTCTGGCTTGCTGTGGCCTGGCTAAAAAAACATGATTCAAGTGAGGGCAGCCCTAGGCAGGCTGCCCTACAGCCCAGCTGGTACCCAGGCCAGCACTAGGAGCTCTTGTTTTTTGTCATGGGATGCACCAATGGGCATTTTCCATGAGTGCACAAACGCAGCTAACAAGCAGTAAAGAAACAGAGAGAAACACTTTTATCTGCCCTACTGAAACCTTTGAACAGCTCATGTGGTCCCCTCCTGCGGAGCCTTCTGGTCAACCAGGCTTTCATTTGATGATGCTAAACGTAACACATGCCTCCTGAGTTTCCTGGTTCAACCAAGGGCACGGAGCTGGGAAGCAAAGCAGCTCCCCTTCAAGCTGACAAAACAGGTGTGCTCTGGGCCAGGAACAAAGTCATTGCTACTTTATGGGTGCTGTGGTTAAGAACAGGACCTGGAGCCCTAATTGCTTGCAGTTTGCTTAAACATTTCAGTTTTCTTTGGGATCTGCTGAAAAGCTTCAGGGAAGATAAGCCGGCTTTAAACACATGTTTAAGTACCTGGCACTCTCGTCCTGATTGTTTCATGTTTTCGCCAAACCACCCTATCTCCCTGTGAGTCTAAAAGATCAATTTGGATCTCTCTGATGTTGAACGTGGGCTCAGATGGAGCTGACTGATTCTATGAATGTACAAATTTACGTTTATCATTTATTGAAGAAAGGGATGTAGCTACAAGGAAATGAACATTAGCCTACTTTGAAGAGGTCGGGTTCCTTTCTTGTTCTGCTTAAATGCTCATGAAAACTTTGTCATTTGGGTTTCTAACCCACAGTGTGGGACACGAAGTCTCTCACCCGGGAGCTTTCCTACAAGACTGCCAGGCGTCTCCCACTGGGCCTGTCTTGGGGGTGGGGCGGCAGGTGTCACTCACTGTTTCCATAGGGAGGGGGTTCAATGCAGCCACACAGCTCCCCTCCATTTTCCAGCTCACAGGTTCGGTTGGGACAGTCCACCCCCACACAAGGATCTTCAACCACTCCTGCTAAAAAGGAAAACAAACAGAAACACACACAACTTGATTTTCACACCAATGCCCAGCAGCATGTGGTCATACTCTGAACTTGCCACTCCAATGGACCTGGTGATGGTCAGATGGCACAAGTTAACAGACAGGGCAGCCTTCCAGGGAGGAATGACGACAGCTAATAATTGGGTCTTTGCTATGTGTTTCATGCTTTGGTGGCATTATCTCTTCCAACCCTTACACTATCTGCCAGCCAACTAGTATAACTTGGCATCGCAGCTGAAATGTACCCAAGGTCACGCACAGGTGAAGGTAAGTGAGGAGGGTGGAAGACACAAACAAGCTGAACTGCCAGTGTGTCCCGAGATTCCTGCACTTACTGCTCTGTACCACCATCATGTGCATCAGAATCTTTACATTTATATAAGCTGTAGAGTCCAAACCATTTACCTCTATATTCCCAATACCTGGCCACCTCACAGTAGATGCTCAACAAGTAGTTGTCAAGAATGAAGATTTGAGGACCAGTAAGGTCCCAGAGAGGTCCCTTAAACCAGGACTTCTTAGTCTTTTTTTTTTCCTGATTCATGGTCCACATGCTTCTACTTAATTTTTTAAAAATAGACAAACCAGAATCTACATACAACTCGCCAGCATTGACTGAGATTAATGGCACTTTTTTTTTTGCCAAAACAGGGAAAACTCTAAGTAAAATACAAATGTATGTGAAGTGTCATCACCAACAGATTACAAACAATATTTCTGTAGCAGATGAGCCCATAGGCCACCTGCAAGCTCATTAACATCTCAGTTTGAGAACCACTAATGGAAAACACTTTCTTTTAGACACTCATTTCTTTATTTAAAGACTCTCACTCCCTATCCAGGTGTAATAATCTTCCTCGTTGTCATGGTTTCTAACAGTAAGCATTAAAGAAACAGCAATGATTCAACTCCAGCATGAGCCAAGTTAGCTTCAAGAGTTTAAAAACAAAACAAAACAAACCCCTCAAGCTGTCCCGTAACTGCAGATGCTTCTCCTGACCTTCTGCTAAATAGCTATTATAACAGGTGAGAGGACAGGAATGGAGTCGCATCCGTCTGTCTTAATTTCTAGAAAGATGTCTAAAGTAGAGCCCTCACCATCAGTTAAATACACCTACTTATTATTTTTGCAGTTTAAACTTCTTATTTTGCATTGGGGAATGGCCAATTAACAGTGTTGTGATAGTTTCAGGTGAGCAGTGAAGGGACCCAGCCATACATGTACATGTATCCATTCTCCCCCAAACTCCCCTTCCGTCCAGGCTGCCACATAACATCGAGCAGAGTCCCCTGGGCTATACAGTAGCCCTTTGTTGGTTATCCATTTCACATGTTGCAGTATGTATATGACCATTCCAAATTCCCTAACCATCCCTTCTCCCATCCTTCCTCCCTGCAACCATAAGTTTGTGCTCTAAACCAGTGAAGCTCTTTCTGTTTTGTAAATAAGTTCACTTATATAATTTCTTTTCAGACTCCACACATAAGGGATGCCATAGGATATTTCTTATCCTCTGTCTGACTTACTTCACTCAGTATGAGACTCTCTGGGCCCACCCTTGTTGCTACAAATGGCATTATTTCTTTTTAGTGGCTAAGTAATATTCCACCAAATATACTTATTTCTTAAAAGCTTCTTTTTCTAAAGACCCACTTATCACCTAGTGTGTTCAGCACCTAAGACAGTGCTAAGCACACAGCAGCCACCCAATGACTGTGCTGGTTGATTAACACAATATGCAAACCACCCAGGAGAATGAGGGGGGAAAAGTGTGGAGGTTACAGCTCCCGAGAAGGCAAAAACCTCACTTACAAACAGAGTGGGCCATTTACTACTTGGCAAATACAGCATGCCCAATACAGAGGTAAGTTATGAGGTTAAAAACAAAAACTGATACTTTTAAAAAAATTCCAGACAATTTCTGAAGTTCAAAACAGTTTAGGCTCTTTAAAGTATTGCTTATTAACATAAGAGGGTAAAATATTAAAGCTATCAAACAAAACATTTCTATTGATTGCCAACAGAAACTACTCCATTTGCTTAAGAGTTTCTGAAATCACTGAGTGCATATTTTAATTATTGACATTGTTTTTAGGTTCTGAATTGTGTATTCCTACTCTTGTCAGGTGTGGCGTGCAGACGTACTGATGAGAACACTCTGTCTTGAAGCAAACAAGGCCAGTTTTCACGGCGGTACCTGTATGCATGCCGGGTTGGTGGTGGGCCTTGAGGGACAAGCACACACTGCAGTGTCACACTGCATTCATGGGACAGAGTGACCATTTCTGTACATGGACACACATATACGGATATGACAAATTTATGTGCAATTAGGCACACACTTACTTGCTCCATCTATCTGATTAACATTGCAAGAAAACAAAGAGAATAATGGATAATGGACATCAAAATAGTTTTCTTACTACAGAAAAAAAATGCAAGAGTCTATAGATTTTTATTTTATCAATAGCACACATATAATCCCTTTATAAATCTAATCATGGCTTCCTTGCCACCAGGCAGATACAGCCAGCTCAATCTGCCATTTGCCACCTGCCTTCTCTTTGTGATCTGGGCTCTGACTCATGTGAAAGGAGCCTTTGGAGAGCTGAATCTGGGGTACTGAAATCAATTAGGAGTCCCTTGCTCTGTCCTGCTATCTTAGAAGTCACTACACTGGTGCTCTTCCAGCCCAGAGAACCCCACCTTCCTCAGTTGATATTCTGAATTCCATAACTGGACCTAGGGGGGGAGTCAAGCTCCACTGAAAGTGCCCCCTCACAGAATCTCCTGCAGCCCACACCTCTCTACCCTTCAACCCCCAAAGCAGATCTACAGGTTGAGATGGAGACCAGCCGGCGAGGCCCGGACAAAGAGATGCCACTGGCCAAGCTGTGCTTTCTGACTCAGAGAAGAGTCTGCAGAAATAAAATAATTCCCTTACAGCAATTCTCCTTCTCAATCCACTCGGTGCTGAGGATCCCGAAGGAGCGGCAGGACTCCCCGTAGGCGGCCAGGGAGCCGCACAGCTGGAACTTCCTGTGGTTGTAGCAGCCGTCCAGGTAGCAGGACTCGTAGAAGGGGAGGGGGTCGAGCAGCCCGTAGCAGGGCTGGAAGAAGCCCTTCATGTCCGTGAGCTTCAGGCAGTAGCCGTCGCCCTGCATGTTCTGGATGTGCACGTTGTCGCACATGGCTGCGTACTGTGAGAACTGCAGCTCGTTGCAGCTGGAGGTGAAAGACGTGGTCAGACTAGGAGGCAGCACTGGGCATCTGAGATGGCCAGTGGGGGGGGGCGGGGAGGGGAGACCACAGTGGTGACCTCTTCGGCTCACCCGGAAGTGAGTGTGGGTGCTGACCCCAACCTTAACCCAGGCTAGGGTTCGAGAGCCAAGGGAATTTCTCCTGTTACACCACCGGGATGAGCGAGGGAAAAACAAAATGATAGTAGCCAATGTGGTGGGCAAGGGTAGATATTGATATAATAACCATTAACCGTTGATGTGGGCTTCCCTGGCGGTTCAGTGGTAAAAAAAAAAACCCGCCTGCCAATGCAAGATATGCAGCTTTGACCCCTGGGTTGGGAAGATCCCCTAGGGAAGGAAATGGCAACCCACTCCATTGGGTGGCCTTTTATCCTTATCCTTGCCTCCTGGAAAATTCCATGGACAGAGGAGCCTGGAGGGCTTTAGTCGATGGGGTCACAGAGTTGGACACCATCAACTCTGTTGTTTAGCGACTATAACAACAACCTTTGATATAATTGACTGATATGATTGATACAATAACTATTAACAGATATTGTTATAATAACCAATAACAATAATGATAATTACATTATTATTAATCAAAAATAAAAGTAATAGCTGTTGTTAAAGTGAAAGATTTGAAACGACATCCAGGAGCTTCTAAACCATTTCCAGTTTAGTTACCAGAGACCATAAGGAAAATCTTCACAAGAAAATTGGTGTCAGGCTAAAACCATTTATAAAAGAAGAAAAAAAGGAAATAAGAAAGGAAAGGAAACTCAAACAGAATGATGATTCCTAAGGAGGAGCTGAATCTTGCTCATCTTTGGAAGCCCCAGAATAGTATAATGTGCAAAGGAGTCATTTTTCTAACTGTGGGTCCCAGAAGTGACATTTTAGAGAAAGCATCACATTAGGAATTCTGAAATCTAATCCGGGCTTTGCCACTTACTGTGCCCCCTCATCTAAATCATTCCACTCTAGCCTCCACTGCACCTAGAAAAGGAAGAGACTGGACCAGATTGTGCCCAAGGTTCTTTCCAGCTCTGGGTCCCACAATTCACAGGATGGTCTAATTTGTGGCACATTTTTCAGTCTACATCTGCAGAAAAGTCAAAGAGGGTTGAGAGTTTCATTCCCACATCTGGGAATTCAGCTGATGTTTGCAATGTTAAAGCTCAAGGGGACAGAATCACTGTACAAGCAAAGAAATGCCAAGAAAGAGAAGTGTGTCTCTAGAACTTGAGAGGAATTAACACGATTTGGCAGTCGAAAGGACTCTTAAGTTAAACACCTTTGAAATAACTTGCTTAGCTCCTTCTATCTCAGCTGGCCAGAGAGGGGCCTGATAATCACCTCAGTGACTTCTACTTTCTTGCTTTCTTGGGCTTTCTAGACTCCCACCAACTTCTGCCCACGCAACCAAGCCTCTGGTAAGAAGTACAGATGGCACTAGTGGTAAAGTACCTGCCTGCCAATGCAGGAGACATAAGAGATGCAGGCTCAATCCCTGCATCAGGAAGATCCCCTGGAGGAGGGCATGGTGACCCACACCAGTATTCTTGCCTGCAGTATTCCATGAACAGAGGCGGCTGGCAGGTTATATGACTGAAGTGACTTAGCATGAGCAGACATGAAGTCTCAGCACTAGGGAACAAGGAATAACCCTCTTCTCCTGGGTTAACTCTTAATCCCACCCTCAGCAAGGATGCCCAGTTTCAGTTAAATTAAACTTGACCAGTTGGGCAGCTGGTCAAGGCTTTAGAGTTCTAATCTTGGGAATACTCTTCTGTTTGGCCAAGGGCTGGACGACACAAAAATTTAGACTTATCCTCTAAGCCTAGTTACTTCTGCTGTTCAAGAAATTACTGTGCCTGTTTGTATGATGAAAACTCCAAAGATCTTGGGCTTAGCTCTTTGTAGGAGAGGAAGGGTGGTGCTATACGAAGTGCCTTTCTCATCAACATCTGTCATAGACACGGGAGGACTGGGACCACTGAGTCTAGTGACTGGAGACTCTTACCTCTTCTGCATGCCATTGGTTTTCCAGCTCTGGGCCAGCACCACGCTGCTCACCACTGGCTTCCCCCGCAAGGTCACGTAATCATCAGTTAAGTCCCCATTGAAGTTGCCGCAAAGGCCACACACTTTGCTCTGCAGCCTCTCACTGATGCTGATTTTTATGACGTTGTAGCCGTTGTAGTAGATCTGGATGTCGGGGCTGGTGTCAATCACCAGGAACCCCTCACTGCTGTAGATTTTGGTTGCCAGGCCGGTTATGAACGGAACATTCACTTGTGTGCCATTCACCTGTTAAAGGAGAAAGAAGAAGCAAATTACCCTCAAAGCAGAGACGGGCAAATATTTACTGTAAAAGTCCCGAGTAAACATTTTAGGCTTTGCAGCCCATATGATCTATCCTCGTGGCAAAAAAAGCAGCCACAGACAAAAGTAACTAAATGAGCAAGTCTGTGTTCCACTAAAGCTTTATTTACATGAATAGACAGCAAGGAGATTTGGCCGAATTTCATATTTTGCTGATGCCTACCCAGGAATTTGAGTGCTCACTCATCTTACTGTCCACAGTTCCTCCCAAAGAAGCAAACTATGGTGGCACAGAGATTAAAATAAAAATGATGGAAAGGTATAATGCACAAGAACTGGCTAGATTTTTGTATAAAACTTTCTCCAGCATAAACCAATTACTGAAAACAAAATCCCAATCCTGCACTAAGGAGAGTCTAACAATGGTTAAAATGAATCTGGGGATCATTGCTATGTTTATTGTTTTCTTATTTTATAATGTTCGAACAGGAGATACCCTCCCAGAGGCCCTATAGGCACAGTATTTTCTCCATTTGTCATTTTCTTGCTTTATAACAGTTTCTTTTCTTAGCCCTTAGGACAGAACATAACCTGCCTTTCCTGTACTTACCAAAGAAATTGTTCTTTCCCCCCCCCCCAGGTTATCAGTAACTTTTGTTGCTTTAAAAAACTCAGCAGAAGCCTTTAAAAAAATATATGATTCTTTACTAGTTTGGTGGCTGGGAGTATTTTATTCAGCACAATGTCAGTTCTGCTCTCAGGTGATCCCTTTTTGCTTTCTTGCTGATATATTCTGGGTCCATGCAGTCATGTCCATGTGGGCCAATTTGCAAAAGGAATTAAGAGTGTCAAAAACAGAAGCAGATTAACTTTCATTGAAGTTAAAAACCAGTATTAAAATCCAGACTCTTCCTTTTAAGCTTGCAAAACCCTACCAGTCTTTTGCCTAATGCTGGATACTAAGCTATTCGATGACTCTTTAAATAAAGATACTCCCAGTGCATGATTATCTGAGCCAGTGGTGGAAGGCAGATACAGTACCACTCAATTCCAAAAACATTAATATGCCTGTGCTGGCTCTCTCCCTGCCCCTCCCTAGCAGGAATTTGCAACACGTGGTGGGGCGGGGCTCCGGCCTCCGTGGTTCCAGTCGGCCTGCTGTGAGCAGACTGGTTTAGCTGAGTGACTGGGAGTCACCACCACTATTTCAGAGCAGATTATCTTCTCAGATGGAAGGATGGGAGGAATCCAGGTTGGAGTGGTGCATTCGTTTATGGGGGTAGGTTGGAGATTCACATTTATATACCGTTGTAAGATTCACAAGAAACCTGGCAACTCTCCTAGAGAAGAGCCAACCCTAAGAGAAATCCATCGTCTCTCTCCTCTGTGCTCTTTCCCTCGGCGTGTCATTAGGAGGCGCTCTCATAGTGAGGGACGACCCCTCCCACCCGTTTTGATTTAGGTAGTTGTGTTTACAGGCAAACGCTTGCTGTCTTTCATTTTTCTAGAAAGGATGGCAGAGATGAAAGAGTCAGTCTTCATTCAGGTGGCAGAGCCAAGAATAATTTCAAACTCTTATAAACAAATGAAAATCTTTTTGGAAATTAATTCAGATTAAAAGCTGACTTATCTACCATTTTATCACCGGAAGCTTTATTAGCATACACGCTGACCTTATGTCCTCGAGATACTGTACATATCCTGCAAGGCCTTTGGAATCGTATGTCCTAAGTCATTTCAGTTGTGTCCAACTCTTTGTGACTCTATGGACCGTGGCCCGCTAGGCTCCTCTGTCCATGGGATTCTCCAGGCAAGAATACTGGAGTGGGTTGCCTTGCCTTCCTCCAGGGGATCTTCCCCACCCCGGAATTGAAACCACATCTCTTATGTCTTCTGCATTGGCAGGTGGATTCTTTACCACTGGTACGTGAAGGACAAAATGGGACCCTTGCTTAACGCCTGTAAAATCTTTACACTTTCAATTCTCTAAAATCTGGTTATCTGTGTATGGTATGTATGAAATAAACAGCCTGTTAAAGTCATTATCCGGGAAAACCATAGTAAACAGCCCCCTAGATAGGCCCTCATTCCAGGACACATTGCTTAAGAATCAAGGACAGGCTCGTCACCTTGACTGTGTTCCGGTCGCTGATGAGAATCTGCTCTTCGTTAATGTAGAAATAGACGGGCGAAATGATGGTGAGATTGGGGGCCGACCACTTGTCGAAGTTGATGATGAGCTGGAAGGAGATGTCGGGGAGCTTCTGGCAGATAGTGGAGAGCACGAAGGCGCAGTTGGCTGGGAAGCGGAGGAAGGCGCCGTCGAAGGTGCGGAAGACGCCGCCACCGGCCGCCAGGCAGTAGGAGGTCTTGGTGCTGAAGCAGCCGCGCACCCCGTTGCGCAGTGCGCACTCCTCGCCCGACTTGCACTGGCGCGGGTCGCACTGGATCAGGTTGCGCCGGAAACAGCGGCACCGCCTCGTGCAGTCGCTGTTCCAGAACAGCTGCTTGGGCTGGAAGAGAGGCGCCCTTTGCATGAAACTAGTGGTGGTCAAGGTTGGGGACCCCAAAGCCCAGACCACCTGGACCCTTTCTGGGCTGGGCTGGGCTGGCCTATCAGTAATGGGGCTGGAATTTGCAACAAGGGAGGCTGGTTCAAGTCAAACAGTACCTGCCTTCCTGGTAACTCAGATGCCAAACAATATGCTACCTAGGCTCTACTGGTTTCAATCAAGAATTTGGGGATCTTCACGGTGGGTTGTAGAGCTAATCACAGCCAACCAACCAGAATGGGAAGCAGGTCAAGAAACTAGGTGAAGAGGAAAATACTTGGTAGGGAATTAATCTAACAAGTACCAACTCTACTTGAAGGAACAAATTTAAATTCACTCAATAATGATAAACCCCACCCTTCAATCTTAACTAGGTTAAAGAAAGGGAGAACCAATTCTTATGCTGAACCATTTTTGTCACCTTAAAAAATGCACAATGTAAGAGTTACAAGTTAAGTTTTATTGGGGGCAAAATAAGGACGATAGCCCTGGAGACTGCATTTCAGATAGCTCTGAGAAACTGCTCCAAAGAGGCAAGGGGGAGGGTCGGTATGAATGTGATTTTGGTGAAGGGAAAATATATGCAATCAAGTACTTATTTTTTGCAGAAGGTTACTAATAGTCATGAGGAGCAGTCCTGACCATGAAGGATTTTAATGCTTTTCTAGATATGAAGAGCTACAAGAATTGGGCACATAAAATCGGCTCCTAAAAATATCTGTTTGAAGACCTATCCTGCCAGTTTTTCCCAGAGCACAGAATGCCTGATTTCTGCTCCTCACCCTGAACTCTTTTCAGGGAATGTTGAAAAATAAGCAGCTGAAGCAGCACATGTTTTAATCCCCGTAGATGGCAAGTGCCAATTTGTAGCTGACAGTTTCAACATTTCACAATACTCACTGTTCCAAACTTCTTTTCTTGTAAATAATCTACTTCTAATTTACTTCTGTTGCACATCCCTCTATTTCTATATCCTGAAGTGAGAAACCTAGATAACAGTTAGGTTCCATGAAGGGAAAGCTTTGGGATCAGAACACCTGGGTTTCGATCCCAGCTCTGCCACCCTACTCATGCCACCCTGAGAGGCTCTTTCAGCTTCTCAGAGTGTTGGTTTGCTTTCTCTAAATTGAAGTTAATAATAATGTCTTGCAAGGCAGTTGTGAAGATTAAATTCAATAAGACGTGTGATGCACATTTCCCGGCTGAGAGTAGGTACTCAATAAATAATAGCTGCTGTTATTACCAGAGAAGAACCACTCATCCTCTTTCAGATAGTGGGGAATTATAAAAATTTATATTAAATACCTGCAACGAAGTGTATCATCAATTGGTGGCAGCTATTATTTTTCACTCTTTCTAGAATCTGTAGACACAGCTGTATTTGTAGAGTCTCTGCTCTTGATCTTGTACCTGTTCTAGACTAAGAATTCCAGGGAACTGTTGGAGATTGGTCATGATTGTTCAAGTGGAGTGTGGTCCCAATGAGTGGTTTACTTCATAGAGATGAGGGCACTCAAGGCATTAATTCAATTTTCTAAAACAGTGCTTTCCAGAGAAGATGTTTTAATGGCACAAAAAGGGCCTATGCTACTGTCTGGTCACAATTTTCTGCATTAACGATAGACTTATCAAAATCCTGGATATCAAATAGAGATCTGACTCAGATCCAAGGGTAAACAGGAAGAGGGTGAAATCTTCCAGGAAGAATTTTCTCAAGAAAACCATTGCTGATTCTTTCACCCCTAAAATGGAGTAAAAAGTAGTTCCTGGAACCTCTTTCTAGACCTGTGAAATATTCTGGGTGCCAGCAGCTTCACAAATTGGCTTCCTTTCTCTTATCAGATTTGCAGAATAATTGAGTGGATGGTCTGGCCTCTCTCAGATAAGAAGTCAGACATTGCATGGGTGGAGAGAGAAAAATAACCTCATGTATGTGGATGTGATCAAGGGTCCATAACTCATCCCACAAGAGAACTTGATCATGAAAGTAGCATCCTGGTAAAGAGACTGGCCCAGTGCTGCTTGCTCAACCTTAATTAGACCTGATAAGGACAGCTGGGTAATTACCCTACATGCTAATTGCTAGATGTGTTCTCTTTTTATTTCCAAAGAAATCTGTCATGTAAACAAGCCTCCAAGCTTGCTTGAACTGTGGCAAGTAGATGTGGATTATTCTGTGAATTTGCTACTTCCCAGATATAAGCTGTTGTCAAAACCCACTGACTTTCTGATGAAAAGTGGATACTAATGTTGATAGTGCTAATAGCTGCCGAGAGCCGTATTGTGCTTTTCCTGAGAGCTCCAAGGGCTTTTATATGCATCATTTCATTAACACGCCTGGATTTTTTAAATTTATAAAATGCCTCTTAAGAGAATTAACAAAACAATAAGCAGCTACCAATTATTGAACTGCTAGGTGCCAGGTACTAAGGCACCTGCGTAGATTCTACAACGACCATACTGAGTTGGTATTATTAGTAATGTTTTGCAGATAAGGCCACAGAAGCTCAGAGAAACGATACAGTTTGTTCAGTGTCACACCACCAGTGTTGGTTCAGCTAGGATCAAGTCCAAATCTCAATCCATCATGTCACAGACACTCAGGATCTCTGTTGAGGGAAGCATGGCACACTTGCTAAATGGATACATCTCAGTAAACCTCTGGACAGGGGAGCAGAGATTGAAACAGTGTTTTTCAGTGTTGAGCCTGGTTATCTCTTCTCCCAGATTGTGGGAAAATGGAATCTCTTATTATTTTCTCCCACATGTTTTGCCTCTTCCTTTCAAATAATCAATATCTCTAAGAGCTAACTTCAAAACTCACCTCTGCCAAGAAGCCTTCTTTGATTAATTCTGCTATTTTACTCTATTTTCCCTCATCTTTCTAATATAACATTTAAACAAATTTCCTGCTGAAAATGAGACTGAAGGTAATGTCCATATTTATCTCTTTCTATTTCTTCTAAAAGTAAAGCCAACTTAGTTGTTCTTAAACAAGAACAATATTTCTTTACAGAAAGAAAGCGATGTTTCTTTTTTCCCTAGTTTGTTTTCAATTTAGACACTTCAATTAAGTGTTTTTTTTTAATGCTCCGATTCTTTTTCATTTTAAAATTGATTAGTTCTGTAGGGTGTTATTTTTCACTTGCTGATATGTTATTTTGTAATTGTCCTCTTGTTTTTAAAGTGCATTTTTTCCCCCTCTTCTGAATAGATTTTTAAGTTCCTTAAGGCAGGGAATATGCTTTATCATCCCCAACAATACCACTCCCACGGATATCTGCGCATAGCAGCTATTGCACAGATGCTGTTGTTAACTGTCTACTCACCAATGTCAGGTATAGATATTTTTTAAACAGAGAATGGGCAAGAGGCAGAACCCAGGGCTAAATACCCTCTCCAAGCAAGATCTTTTTAAGCTTAGTATTCCAGAACATAAAGAAAGATTACAGGGTGGAAGTGTAAATGATTTCGCAAGCTCATATGTTTTAATCAGTGACCTCTAAGAAGGGCATCTTCATCAGCTCTATGTGAAGCCCCCAAAGAGAGAGAAGCAGAGGGTAGGATGTGGAAAACAGCGCATTAAGCATTCCAGACAGAACTCTCTGGGGACGGTCCTAGAGGGACAAACGACACAAGAAGAGATGGCAGCCTTCACTCTTCTCCTGGAGCTGCAATAGACAGAAGAGAGAAAGCCACTCCTCCAGCCTCGAGCTCCATATTTTCCAGTTAAAACTGCCCTCAGCTAAGACAGGTCTAAATGTCAGATTCACTGCCTTCCTGTTTCCAAACAGCAGCCAAGTCAGAAGCTTTCAGACTAAGAGTTACAGGAGAGGAAATCAGAAGGGCTTAGCGAAAGGTACGGAGGAGAGAGAGAGGCACAGACAACGCTGGCGAGGAGGCGGGCAGAGTGAGGCCCCAGCGCATGTCCAAACCCGGAGCCTCGTCTGCCCTGTCCTTGCTCTCTCGCCCCGACGTTCCCCCTCGCCGCCTCCCTGCGAATCCGGATCCGCAGCACCATCTTCTCCTCATCGGAAGGGAAGCTGGGTTCGCCGCGACCCATCTTCCTCCTGGCGGGGAGAGGACTCTGCTGCCTTACCAAGGGCGGCGGGCGGGCCGGCTCCCCTACCTCGTAGTACTTGCCGTCGGAGTAGCAGCCGCAGTTGTGCGGCAGAATGCAGCTCCTGCCGTTGAGGACGTAGCCGGGGTCGCACTGGCAGCCCTCCACGCAGTAGTGGTTGCAGTCGCTCTTGAGGCGGATGGCGGCGCAGCGGGGCTGGCACACGCTCACGCAGCTGTCGTAGTGGCTGTTGGGAGGGCAGGCGACGGCTGCAACGGGAGACGCGGGTCAGGATGGGCCGTCCCCAGGGCTGCCAACGCCTTCCTCCCCGCCATCCCTCACCGCTCGGGAGACGGAGGCCTGGTGGGGAGGAGTTCCCTGACCCAGTATTGAATTGTATCCCCTACATTGGCAATATGGAGTCTTAACTACTGGACCGCCAAGGGGAGTCCCCAGATCCCTCATTCTTCCAGCCCCAGGTAGAGTCCCAACTTGCCTGCAAAATTCCCTACTCTTTCACTAACTCAGAACTTCCAGAACCCTTTTCTAAGCAAATAGTTAATAGGCCCTTGAACCCCTTGATTTCTGAGAAGGCAAACTTACATGGTGTGTGTGCTGATGTATAGAGACCAATCCATGTCAACTATGTTCTATGGTTTTTAAATTTATGTAGATGCTTTCCTAGAAGGCAGTTGGGGTCCAGTGAAGAGCATGGGCTCTGGAATCAACTCTGAGAGACTGGAGCCATTACCTAATCTCTCTGGGTTTCAGCTCCTTATGTGTACTATGCAGTTACCCAGGGCAGCACTTCATGGCTCTTTGGGAGGGAATGAGTGAGTCTGTGTACTTAGAACAGTGCCAAGCACCTAAGTGCTTGGCGTGCTGCAGTCTGTGGGGTTGCAAAGAGTCAGACATGACTTAGCAGCTAACAACAACAACAAGCACGTAAGTGTTCAGTAAGTGGTAACCAATCATTAAAGATAGGTTTGCTTAAAAGTTTTACCGAAACTAGTATTTTTAGTCAATGTATACCAAAAAAAGTGGTAAAGAACCTGCCTGCCAATGCAGGAGATGTGGGTTTAAACCCTGAGTTGGGAAGATCCCATGGAGAAGGAAATGGCAACCCGCTCCAGTGTTCTTGCCTGGGAAATGTCATGGATAGAGGAGCCTCATGGGCTACAGTCCATCATGTTGGAAAAGAATTGACATGACTTATCAACTAAACAACAAAAATAACAATACAAAAAAGTACAACTACTCTTATGTGGGAATTTCTACTCCATATCACTTAGCCTTGAATCATTGTTTTTGCACTGCTGTGTGTGTTTTATGTGTTTATAATGATGCTACATGCTTGTACATTTATCCCTGCCCTCATGAGTAAATAAATCTCTACAATAAATTCGTTGAAGTGGAATAACTGAGTCAGAGAGTATGTGCATTTAAGCTTTTGATGGATGCAACTGAATTGCCCTCTAAAGAAGCTGTATCAATTTATCCTCCTACCAGGGCTAGATGAGATTTATTTTTCCCTTATCCTCACTGATTGTTTATCCCCAAACTTTCTGGTCCTTGGAAAAAACTACATGCTATACCTATAAGGGATCACTATCCAGAATATGAAGGAACTTCTAAAATTCAACAATCAAAAAACCAAACAATCTGATACAAAAATGAGAGAGGAATTTGAATAGACCTTTCTGCAAAGAAGATATATGAATGGCCACTAAGCATGTGAAAATCAACATCACTAATCATCAGGGAAATCAAAACTATAATGTAATATCACCTCATACCCATTAAGATGGCTACTATAAAAAACACCCAGAAAATAACAAATATTGGTAAAGATGTGGAGAAATTGGAACCCTTTGCCCTGTTGGTAAGAATGTAAAATGGTACAGCTGCTGTGGGAAAGAGTAGGGTAGTTTCTCAAAGAATTGAAAATAGAATTACCGTATGGGCCCAGCAATTCCAATCCTGGGTGTATACTTAAAAATTTGAAAGAAATATCGCTAAGACATATTTAGACACTGTTGTCATAGCAGCATTATTCATTATAGCTAAATCGTGGAAGCAATACAAGTGTCCACCAATGGATGAATGGATAAGCAAAATGTAGTCTATATATACAATGGATTATCACTTAGCTTGAAAAAGGAAGGAGATTCTGCAACGTGGATGAACCTTGAGACATTATGGTAAGTGAGAAAAACCATCCACAAAAATATGAATACTGTATGATTCCACTTATGTGAGGTATCTAAAGTAGTTAAGACAGGAAGTAGAACAGTGGTTTCAGGGGACTCTGGAAGGGGAGAGGAATGGAGAGTTAGTGTTTATGGGTACAGAGTTTCAGTTGAGCAAAATGAAAAGCCTTCTGGAGGTGGAGGGTGGTGGCTGCACAACAATATGAATGCACTTAGTAACACTGAACTACACCCTTAAAAATGGTTACAATAGTAAGTTTGCTATGTGTATTTTACCACAATAAGAAATTAATGCTATATCCTCATTTCATTTGCATTCTTTGTGAGACTGATCATCTTTTTCCTTTGTCTATAATCTGTGTATCTTCTTCTATGAATTGCCTTTCCATGTCCTTTACACATTTTGTTTCTTGAATATTTTTCTTATTAAATTGTAAAAGCTCTTTGTAAATTAAAAATATATTTTTGTTTGTCACATGTTAAAAATATTTATCAATTGCTTTTGACTTTGCTGCTGCTTCTTCCTTTTTTTTTTTTTTTGGTACATTGGTTTGTGATCTTGATGATGTTTTTGCCATATGGAAATATAAAAATTTAAAGTGGTCAAATTTATCATGTTTTCCCTTGTGGCTTTAGGTGTTTTGCTTAGAAAGGCCCTCTTTACTCCTAGATTACCAAAAATATGCCTTTGTTCTCTTTTAGTAGTTTGTTTTAACTTTATTTTGGCTGTGCTGGGTCTTCGCTGCTGCACGGGCTTTTCTCCAGTTTAGGAGAGCAGGGGCCACTCTCCAGTTGCAGTGCATGGGCTTCTCACTGCAGGGCTTCTCAGAGCAGAGCCAGGGCTCTAGGGCACATGGGCTTCAATAGTTGCAGCACATGGCTCTGCAGCTTTGGCTCACAGGCTCTAGAGCACAGGCTCAATAATTGTGCACAGCCTTAGACGATCCATGGCATGTGGGACCTTCCCAGATGAGGGATCAAACCCATGTCTCCTGCATTGGCAGGTAGATTCTTTACCAATGAACCACCAGGGAAACCCTTCTGGTAGTTTTATGATTTGAATTTTCACATTTCATCTTGGTTCTGTCTGGGTTTTATTTTTGAGTGAGGAAATGAAGGAAGGATTTAATTATTTTTCCCCCTGCTAGTTTGTCCTTTATTGAGTAATACATTGCCCCCAGTGATTGGAAACGCCAGCTTTACTATATACTAATTTCTCTTTGGTGTTTGGGCCTATTTCTGGACTTTCTCATCAGTCCACTGGTTGGTTTTTCTGTGCATGTGCCAGTATCGACTTGTTGCCTGGCAAATCCCATGGACAAGGAGCCTGGCAGGCTACAGTCCACAGGTAGAAAAGAATCAGATACAACTGAAGTGACTTAGCACACACGCATTGAAACTCTACAGTATATTTTAATATCTGGGAAGACATAACTACCAATTTAGAAATGTCTACTGTTGTTTCAAATATACTGGTCCTATTTCCACACAAAGGCAATATATTCCATATTTCATACTTCTGATCTTTTGTGGTCTCCCAAACAGTGCTGAGAATGTGACAAGTGATTAATAAATATTTGATTCCTGAAAACAATCTTCCAAATTCCTAATTCTGATTTTCTCCACCCAAATGAAGTACTGAGAGCTGAAAGTGATGATGGTTCTACACCTGGATTTCTATTGTGGTCACAAATGTATCTCTTGTTGTAGCCAGTGGACTGATACAGCCTTTGTGCCGTTGGCGGGCAGGATGCATGGGAAGAGCAATGCAGCAATGAAATAGAACTGATAAAGGCTCTGGAATCAGGCTGACCTGGCTTGAGTCTTGGCCTCTGTGACCAACTAGCAGTGTCACCTTGGGCAGGTTATTTACTCTCTCTAAACCCTGGCTCCTCTGCTTTCTCATCTGTAAAACGGAGATAATATCTCCCTCATCAAATATTCATCATTGTTAAGATAAAATGAAGTGCAATTTTGTACAGTGCCTGGTACTTCAATGAAAATTTCTGTTACTAATAGTGGAGCAACTGTAGTAGTAACAATAGGAATTTTTAAAGTTATTCTACTACAATTTTTTTTTTTTATCATGCTGGGTCTTTGTTATAGCTCCAGACTCTTCCGTGTGGCTTCTCTAGTTATGGTGCAAAGGTTCCAGAGAGTGCAGGATCAGTAGCTGCAGCACATGGGCCCAGTTGGTCCTTGGAATGTGGGATCTTAGTTTCCCTGACAGGGATCAAACCTGTGTCCCATGCCATTGCAAGGTGGATTCTTAACCACTGGATCACTAGGGGAGTCCCTCAATTAGAATTTATTGAGTTTTCAGAGAAAGATATAGGAAAATGCCTAATTATCAGACTTCTGACCAAGAACTTTGAAGTAGCAAAATCTGCCTTTGATAAAAGAGAAAATGATACTCAACGTTGGCTGATCAGGCACCAGACAGCCTTGTGTATGAGCCATTATCACATTTAATTCTCATGATGGCCCCCTGAGGTTGGAAGATGCCTCCCCAGACCTGGTTCTACAGAGCTCTGCATCCTCAGTGGTACCCAGGAGTTCCCCACCCCCCAGGCTTCCTGGCCTGACCAGATAAGAGCAGCAGCACCCTACAGCCAGAGAGCACAGTCTCTGGAGCCACCTTCCAATTCACCCAAGCCAGTTTCCTTGGGAAAGTCACTGAAATACTCAGAGCTTCGGTTTCCTCCTCTAGAAAGTGGGAGTATTCATATGGCAGAAACAACAAAACATTGTAAAGCAATTATCCTCCAATTAAAAATAAATAAATTTTTAAAAACAGGGCCTACTTTACAGGGTTGCTGTAAAGTTATAGGAGTCAATGACTGAGGACTCAGCACTGAGAAGAGTGCCTGGCACATGGTCAGAGCTAAGTACCTGCAATGAACTATTATTTTCTTCTCTTACTGTATCCTCACCATCAAGTGCTCTAATGTAAGTTCTCCGTTAAAGGACTGAATGAATGACAGATGCAGCTGAAAGAATTTTAAGAAGGGGTTAGCAATAAAGAGAACTCGCCTCCTGTCCCCCCTCTAAGCCTATTTGTTCAACTTGGGTGAAGGAGTTTTCCAATGCATTTGCAAAAAGGCTAATTCAGTAATAAATTATCCCATTGATAGGAACAGCCAATATCATTGATAACCAAAAGCATCCTACCTTGTTACCAATCAAGCATACATTTAATGGGCAATTCTGGCTTAACCCTTTTTCTCCTGAAAACAGCATTCTCATTTCTCAACATGTGAGTGTTAAAATGGATGAATTCTTAGTAGAAGAGAGGAGTGGGACATGCATGTGTGCTAAATCGCTCAGTTGTGTTCAGCTCTTTGCAACACTATAGGCTACAACCCATCAGGCTCCTATGTCCATGGGGATTCTCCAGGCAAGAATACTGCAGTGGGTTGCCCTGTCCTTCTCCAGGGAGTCTTCCCGACCCAGGGATCGAATCCATGTCTCATGTCTCCTGCATTGCCAGGCGCATTCTTTACCACTGGTGCCACCTGAGACGCCCCAGGGAGGGAGACAGGGGGATGCTATTCCTGCCCTCGTGTCTCAGAGGTTAACCTCATGTCAGATTTGGTTGTTTAGTCGCTAAGTTGTGTCTGACTCTTTTGTGACCCCATGGACTGTAGCCCACCACGCTCCTCTGTCCATAGGATTTCCCAGGTAAGAATACTAGAGTGAGTTGCCATTTCCTTCTCCAGGGGATCTTCCAACCCAGGGATCAAACCCACATCTCCCGCACTGGCAGGCGGGTTCTTTACCACTGAGCCACCAGGCAAGCCCCAAACTTGGTTACAGACAATCGTATTCAAGCCAGCCTGTGCTCACCGATCTTTCAGACTGAATGGCTGAGTGAAGAGTCAGGCTGCCACAGCTTTTCTCTGCTTCTGAAATTCAAAATGGAAAACTAAGCTGCCTCCAGCTGTGTCCGCACACCCCCATCTCCACCCACACGCCGTCTCTAAAGTGTAATTGTTTTTCTCTTATTTTAGCTTTTTTTTTTTTTTGCCAGTCACCACCACCACCTCTTCAGGAGCTTTCTTTTAGATCTTGGCCCCTGTCCTGAAATGCCAAGGTGAGGGAAGGACTATCCCCACCATGGTGAGGACAGCTGGCCTAGGCCTTTGCTGGCAGGCAGCAGTCCAGACAGATATGGGGCTCATGGTCAAGGGTGCGCAAGACAGACTCTGCTCTGACTTGTATGGAGCTCCCTGTGACTATGTATACAGGAGGCCACCAATGTCTGGACAGAACTCTGAGCAGGGGAGAGGAAAGAATGCTGGTTGAGGGGACAGGAGGACGAGAAAAATAGTCTTCATAGCCTTTAGGAATGGTCTCCCTTTTCCAAACCGTTTCCCCATCCTGCACCAGTTTCAGCCCTATGGGTCCAAGCTCCCTAGAAATAGGGGACCTTCCTCCTCAAAGGTAAGGCCATGAGTGCATGCTAACTTGCTTCTTTTTCTTTCCCATGAGTGACAAAATTTGATATCCATAATTTCACGTGAGAGTTCCTGGTATTAGCCTCCTTTAAAAACAATTCACTGCTCATTGCAGCTAGAGGTAATGGACATGGACAGACACTATTCTCTGCCCCACGTCCCAGCAACACCAGACAAAACAGCGGCCACCACGGCATGGCTACAGGAAAAGAGGGACTGCTCTGCAGCGGGTCTCAAGAGGCAGCAGGTAGGGTCTCCTTCCTAAAACTCTCTCCCCATCCTGCACCGTGGTGCGGCCCCTGGCTTCAGAGGCTGGTCTTCTGATTTAGAGGAAGGTAAGGTCTCCGGTGGGCTTCCTAGGTGGCACAGTGGTAAAGAATCTGCCTGCCAATGCAAGAGAGGCAAGTGACTTGGGTTCGATCCCTGGGTCAGGAAGATACCCCGGAGGAGGAAATGGCAACCTACTCTAGTATTCTTGCCTGGGAAACCCCATGAGCAGAAGAGCCTGGTGGGCTATGGTCTGTGGGGTCACAAAGAGTCTGATACGACTGAACAACTGAGCGTGCTGACAACGAAGCACTCTCGCCCCAGCGAGCTCACCTCAGTGAATCCAGAGGAGCTCTGGAGGTTCATCCGCAGTCTGACTCTTTTATGGGCGTATTTATTTTAGTAAAGTCACCAGACGCCCCCACTGGCATTGCTCCCCATAACCTCTCACCCAGGGACTGAACCTGGCTAACACGGCGTCTTCTCCCTTCCCCTCCCCACCTCCTCCCACCCTCCCCTCCCAATCTACATGAATCCAATTATGTGGAATGTAAACGAACTGTGTGAGCATTAAACGACAACACTGTTTCTGGTCTTTCATCCGAATCTCCCTTTACCAGGATGAAAGGGGGTTTTATTCTCCAGGACCCCTGCTGTATCACTTATTTGGAGCTCTTGGCGTTCAGCATCCATTTGTAGCCTTTCTCATACAGTTAGACCTAAAAGAAATTTGCTGTAGCTAATGAGATTGAGATGGGAAAACAGACCCAGGCAGTTTGGCCAAAGACCAATAGCAGTTTCTCTTCCCCATTTTTTCCTATTGTGATGTGCTAAATGCAGACAAATTATTCCACTATGTAGTCTACGGGCTGAAAGCAGGAGCTTTGAGGCTGGAAGGTCAAACTCTGACTTTGCCACTGAGATCACAAGGACCTTAGGCAAGTTAGTTAACTCCTCTGAGTCTCAGTTTCTCCCTGACTAATTGGGTGATTGAGGAGATAATGTTGATAAAGTGTTTAGCACTGGACTTGGCTCAAAGCAAGCCAGGAATGTAACAACAATACCACTTAACATGCATGGAGTGTGCTAGGCTTTCAATTATCTAATTTGATCCTCCTGATGTTACTGTAGCATAAAGAGTGCAGGCAGCAGCATTACCCGGGAGTGGAGGGGACAAAGAACCAGGGAGGAAAAGTGAAATGCTTCAAGGTCACAACCATCCTTACGGACAGAGCAAGGCTAGAATCCAGGCGCTTTAGTTCTTTTGCTTTTTTCTTTCTTTTTTCATCGACATATAATCAATGTGCAATATTAATGTTAATCTCAGGTGTATCTAATTCTTTTTCCAATGTTTTTAACATTCTTCTACATTTCATCAATGCAAAGACTGATACACGACATGCGTGCATGCTAAATCGCTTCAGTTGCGTCTGACTCTTTGTGACCTATGAAATGTAGCCCGCCAGGCTCCTCTGTCCATGGGACTCTCCAGGCAAGAATACTGGAATAGGTTGCCATGCCCTCCTCCAGGGGATCTTCCTGATCCAGGGATTGAACCTCTGTCTCTACATGTCCTGCATTGGTAAAGCAGGTTCTTTACCACTACTGCCCCTGATAAATGACATATATGAGTCAAATAGAAAAAAAATACTCAGTGAAAGCACATAAATTATCAGTACAGTGATGAGTCAGTGAGGTTCTAGAACTATGAACTAAGCAACCTACTATCTCATTCTCCCTTGTCTTTTGTTAGACTCTTACTGTGTCCTTGCTGAGCCCAAATGCCATGTGGGCTGCTCTCTGCTTCATGTACATTTTGATTCATCTTCAGAGGAATATAAAGAAAATAAGTGGTATTAGCCCCATTTTATAGATAAGAATACAGAGGTTCTTGGAGATTTGAGTTCTTGCTTCAGAGAGAAAACTCAATTCCAAAGGGTATATCCCCTCACCCCCAAAAAGTGCATATCCTGGGACACCCCTGGTGGTCCAGAGGTTAAGACTCCATGCTTCCACTGCTAGGGGCCTAGGTTCAATTGCTGGGCCAGGGAACTAAGATCCTGCAAGCCATGTGGCATGGCCAAACAAACCCACCAAACCCAGAGTGCATGTCCTGAAATGGCCCCACTGGATTCGCTCTGACTCTTACTGGGTGACTGGCCCGCCCACACCAATCAAGAGGTGAGGAGTGCCCACAAGGAGGACTCACAGCAGGATGTGTAGTTCCTCCAGCCGGTCACCGCGATCCCCTGGGTCTGGCAGGTGCTGGCATAGTTCTGCAGCCAGCTGCAGGCGGTCTGCACAGCGCCCCCATCAATGCAAGAGTCGAAGAGGCAGTTCTTATAGAAGAAGGTGGGGTTGACCTTGCTGTGGCACTTGGTGAAGCCCGCGTTCTGGCTGGGGATCAGGTTGCAGAGCTGCTGCACTTTGGAGAAACCTTCCACCTTGGCACAGGATGGGCAGCGGTCACCACAGCCAATCTGGCAGAAGGTGTCCCTCTTCACCCAGCTCTGTCCAAACTCATTGACGCTGGAGGCCAGCAGACCCATGGGCATCTCCAGGTCGTCGTCGGGGTTGCCGTTGTAGCGGCCACACAGGCCGTAGGTGCTGTTCTGCATGCTCCGAGGAACCGTGACGGACAGGAAGGTCTTCCAGTCGTAGACCACCTTTAGCCCAAAGTCAGTTTCCACCACCACGTGGAAACCAAAAGAAAAGATGTTTATTTTCCCTTGTCCCAACTTCAGGGGCAGATAGAGCCGTTCATTGTTGACCTGCAAGAGGAAGCAGGTCGGCATAGACAAATCCAGGTGACCCAGACATTCCCCCCACTCCCGCCCGCCACTGCTCTCTTAATGATTAGCCTCGGAGAGGCAGCCCCAGAGGGGGGCTGGAGCAGGTTGAATCCAATCTTTGCATTTAGTGTCGTTTCTGTCACTCAACTATTATTATTAGGATTTGAACAGACTTAAATGACTATCCTTCGTACACTAATACACCTATTTATTTCAGTGCCTTCTGCTTATAGCGTTATTTCCCCCAGGAGTTCAAATTGTTTTCTCCAAGGTAATGAGAGGGTAATAAGAATTCAATTAAAGTTTAGACTAAAATATCCAAACCTACAACTCTTATGTTGCTATTTCCAGCTCTTCCGTGGATTTATCTTAGACAAGCCTCAATTTATTAAATCCTTTAGGATCTTCTTTTTCCTGAAGAATGACTTGACTTTGCTGGTCCCTCTGCCAAGGATGCTATTCTTTACCCGTCAACATCCTTCTCATCCCCCAGACCCTGCTCAAACGTCAGCTCTTCTATAAGGCAAGATTTTTGGAGCCCGTGGTCAGAATGAATCACTCCCTCATCTGGGCAACCAGAACAAGTTATTTATACTTCTCTCCTGTTCTTTTGCACCTTTGGCCAAGATCAGGCACACATACCTGCTACTGAAGCATACATGACATCAGCCTCATATTACAGCTGGTTGTCTACACCTCTGTCTCATCTACAGGATTAGATCTCATCTACAAGAGCGACTTGAGAGGAGGGACCACATTTTATCCATCTATGCATCCACCTCCCCCTCGTTCCCTGCTGGGCGCCCACCACAATGCCTAACGTGGAGAGGGGACTTGACACATGTTTCCTCCTATATATTTTAAGTTGAGCAAAAAAGGAAATCCCTGAGCTTCAAACTCCAGAACGGTATGGCCCTTGCACCATTTTGGTTCAGATTAGTTAAATCCTACAGCTCATGGCTAGGTGAGTGCATGCTGGAAAACAGAGACTGTTGTGAGCGCTAAGAGAGAGCTGATCTTCCTGGTACAAGAGGAAGGTGGCTGCCCTTTGGGGTGGTCTGAGGTTGCTCTCTGACTGGAAATACCTCCCTTCTGATGTCCTTAATCTCTTTATCATCTGATGCCCCCATCCCCAGCCCAACCACCTTAATTCAGACTCTCATCACCTTCCACCTTGACTCTTAAATATACCCACTACTGGTTTCCCTGCCCTGGTCCTCCCCTCTCCTCCATTCACTCTTCACTGCCTCTCCAATAATTTTTAATGCAATTAATACTTAAAACCCTCTCTGCAGTGACAATGAAATGGGGGATACACTGAGCATATCTGACAGGGCTCTCCAGGAGCTGGCCCCTGCCTCTCAGACCCAACTCACTCATTTCCTGCACCCCAGCCATACCCAGCACTTCACTGTGAGAGTCGTTTCCTAAGCAGGTTGATAAGAAGTCTAGGGGTCCCCAATAAGAGAGGGGTCTGGCATTCTTAAGGAGGAAGGAAGGACAAACTTTTTTTTCCCTCTACATTCCTTAGGATTATATAATAATAATGTATCCTGCCTGAGGACAGTCTCTGGATTAAACCTTCTGGCTAATCCTGTTATCTAAAATATGGAAGTAGGTCTTTACAAGGATTATAAAACAAAAATGTATCCTGCCTGAGGACAGTCTCCAGATTAAACCTTCTGGCTAATCCTGTTATCTTAAAATGTAAATTATGGGAGTAGGTCTGGTGAGGTCTTTACAACTCCCAGACTTTCTTTTGATTCATTGGAGAGTATGTAACTCCACTGCTAACACTAGCAAGGGGATACTCTTTCTACCCCCTTCTGATGTCTATGTCAGAAGCTTTCTGTATCTCCTTTATACCTTAATAAAACTTTATTACACAAAAGCTCTGATTGATCAAGCCTCATCTCTGGCCCTGGATTGAATTCTTCTCCTCCGGAGGCCAAGAATCCCGGCCTATTTTGGTGGTTCAGCAACAACCTTTCAACTGCTCCCCAAATGGACTGAGTGGCACCACTCCACATGGTACTCCTTTTGCTGTGAGTATGGTGGTGCTTTCTGAGTCCCTCCAGGGGACCCATCCTCAACAATTGTGAATGTGGGCTAGTGATAACTCACAGTTGGTCTTGGCCCAGGAGATGATGCCCTCCTATTCCAGCTGACCAACACAGGGGACCAATTCTGTGTGCAGGTCATGCACTTGAGTTCCCAGTGGCTGAAGCTGGTGTCCAGCTCAGATCACATCCTCACTAAGCTCTCTGCTCCTGGTACATCCCTCACTTTCAGGAACCACCTTCTCAGATTCTGCCTCTAGGGGACCAAACCTAAGACAGCATTGATGCCCTTACCCCATCCTCCTACTCTCTGGGGCAATATTCACCCTTCAAATTTCAGCGCAGCTATCTCCTTGTCTGTGAATATTTGTCTAGGCAGGACTCACTCACTCACCCAGTAGCCATCAGTCTGGTACCTCTGTGCACCAGGCACCCTGCTAAATGCTGGGATAAAGCACAAGGCTCTTTCCCTAGGAGCTCACAGGCGTGTGGCCGAGACAAGCACATAAGCAGATAAAAATACATTGTCTGATGAAAGTTAACAGTAGAGATAGAGGCACAGGACCCAGACTCAGCCTGGGGACAGAATCAAGGATACCTACAGAAGATGGTGCGCACACCCAGCTCTGAACAGTGACTAGTGGTGGCCAGTCCAGACAAGTTAAGAGTTTGGGATTAAAATATAAACATACTCGATAACTAGTTAGGATCTATTGATTAGCACAGGGAACTCTACTCAATACTCTGTAATGGCCTGTATGGGAGAAGAATCTAGAAAAGGGTGGATATATCTATATGTATAACTGAGCTACTTTGTTGTACACCTGAAACTAACACAACACTGTAAATCAACTGTACCCCAATAAAAATTTTAAAAAATACACACTATTATATATAAAATAGATAACCAAGAAGGATCTACTTATAACACAGAGAACTATACTCAATATTCTATAATATACAGAATAACTATACCCGATATTCTATAATCAAGAGAATGTAAGAAATATATATGTATATGTGTATATATATATATATACACACATCTGTGTGTATAACTGAATCACTTCACTATATACCTAAAACTAACACAACACTATAAATCAACTATATTTCAATAAAAATTAAAAGCAGAACAAAACAACAAAAAAGAAGGAATGAGAGTGAATAAAAGGAAATCCCAAGAAGAGGGTGTAGCCTAAGTCAAGGCCAAGAGGAGAGGGATGGCCTCATAAATATGAGGAATTACAGCGATTTAATGATGCTGGAGCATAAAATGTGACCTCGGGGATGATGGGAGATAAAGATGGAGTGATGGGAGGTTCCTGGACCATGGAGAGCCACGTATGTAGTGTCCCATGAGATCAAGCTTGAAAGAGACTCATTCATTTTGCAAAAAAGTCACCAGTGATCTTAGTAAAAGAATTTCACTAGCATGATGAAACCAGAGGTTAGACTATAGAAGTTAAACAGCAGACAGGGGATATGGAAGCAGAGATGACTCCAGGAGTTTGGTAAGAAACGGAAGGAGAGGGATTAGATAGAAGAGGGATTGGGTTGACTTGGGGTCAAGGTTTGTCTTAGAATAAATATGTTTATGGGTTGAAGAGAAGGACCTAAGACATGGGAGGGGGAGGAGATGACAGATGGGCAAGAGCTTGAGAAGGCAAGATAGAGATGGTGCAGGCGGGTAGTGGCCATGGAGGGGGATAGTGGCCTCATTCTCTGGAACAAGGAAAGGAGGTGAAGATGACGTGCTGATGGGTCATTTCAGTGATAGGGTGGAGGAGGAAAGTGGAGGAGGGAGATCACATCTGGTAGGCACAATTCTCTCAATAAGGAGGCCCAGAGCTCAGGTGACATAGGTTCCATGCAGACCCATAATACAGGTATGCAAGGTCACCAAGAGACACAGAGGCTGGAGGGCCTCCCACCAGCCTTGACAACACACAGGAATAAACGAAAGGCTGTGCACCAAACGGCTCACATGCGCCGGCTGGCGCTTCTCCACATCCTCTGTTCCCGGCTACTGGATGTCAGCAGGAGGCGATACCTAGCGGAGGTCTTCTACCTGGATCGCAGCTGAGGGGCTTCAAGCCCTGTCATTGCCCAGGGGAACCTGGGAAAGCAAGGCCTCAACTTAAACAGGCCTGCTTGGCATCTCCCATCTCTGAAGCCCCGTGAATGCCGCCTCCATCCCTCCATCCCTGCCCTGTCTGTCCTTGCAGGTGAGAAACAGAGGGAAGGAAGGAGGCCGAGGGAGGAAGGGGTCAGTAAGGAAGCAGTGCCTGATGGTTGGAGGAGGTGGGCATAAAGGAGGAAGAGGACAGGGCGTGGTGATCAGTGTGGGGCTATTTGTTTTTAATCTGAGCATTGGAAATAAGGCCACAAACTTGCTTTTCAGTGGAGAGCTTTCCTTTAAACAGCTGGCCCAGACCTGCTGCTGCCTCTTCAGCTGCTCTGAGGTCCCCTCACAGCCGCCCACCTTGCTGCCCCTCTGGGTCTCCATGGATGATTCCTGGTCCTCCTTCTGGGCCTGGCCACTGGATAGCTTCAGGGCTCAGCTCCGGTCATCTCTTCCAGAAAGCCTTCCTTCTCCACCCCCAGGTAGCCCAGGCAACCTGTTCTCTCATGACACCCACCTTCCCGCCCACACATCACATTTTTCTGGGATTTCACATCATGTTAAAGTTACCTGCGAACATGTCTGTCTCGCCTACTAGACCCTGAGTTCCCTTAGCACAGAAGCCCTGTTTGACTCATGTTTCTACCCTCAGGGTTTGGCACAAGACAGACATCAATACAAGCCCGTCAAACACAACTGAGCCAGAGTGATGTTCAAAGGTCCTCTCTTCCCTGCTGCCCATGGGATGAGCAGTCAGTGATAAAGACACTGGCTGTGAGGGTCCTGAAAGCCTTCCCCTCGGCCTGGACCACTCAGGACCCGGCTGTGTTGAGCCTGCAGGAGACGGAGGACAGGGGCCATCTCTGTGGAGCTCGGGCTGTGGACAGCTGACGCTTGGGCTGTGCGATGCCTGGGCGCGGCTCCCCTCTCCTGCTCACCCCACACCCTGCCTGGTACACACACGGCATGTTTATGTCTAATTTTCCTCAGCTTAGTGGATTTCCCCATATCCTCAGTTCCGCAGGGAAAGAGAGTCACAAGAGGGGCCTGGCGTCCCCAGGAGTCCCCTCCAGGCCCCCTCTGGTTTTGTGTGCACCAGCAGTGACCCGGCTTTGTTGCTGTGTTTTGCCCGGCGCTTGACTGTGTGCTGTCATTATGATGGCCGTTATTCTTCTCAGGGAGAGATGGTGACTAATAATAACATCATGGGAAAAACAAATGCAAATCATTGAACAAGCAGATCCTGTAGTGCATGTTAATAATTCAAAGTAAATGCTAAATCTATCCCCCCGGCCCCCGAAGGAAAGAACCTTCAAGCATCCTGAACTTGATCTTCCTGTCAGAGATTGGAAAGCTATATGCTCTATCGCCAGCTTGGGCATCTGAGGATATCTGGGGACACAGAAAGGCAGGCTGTGCAAAGTGTCCCCCCACCCCGTTAACCAGTTCTTCCTTGCTGCCCATGACTCTCTGATTACTCCCAGTTATAGACCGAGTTGTGTCCCCCCAAAAGATACACTGAAGTCTTAACCTCCAGGACGTGTGGGTGTGGTCTTGCTCGGAAACAGGGTCTTTGCAGATCTTAATCAAGTTAAGCTCAGATCACGCTGTGAAAGGGTGGACCCTAAATCCAATGACAAGTGGTCTTAAAAGGAGAGAGATTTGGTGCAGGGGGAAGAAAGCCATGAAAAGACGGAGGCAGAGACTGGAGGTATGAGGCCCCAAGGCAAGGGTCACCTACAACCACCAGAAGCTGGGAGAAAGCCTGGAATAGATGCTTCCCTAGGACCCCAGAGGGACCAGGGGGCCCTGCTAACACTTTGATTTCAGACTACTGGCCTCCGGATCTGTAAGAGAGTAAGTTTCTGCTGTTTTAGGCCACCTGGTCTATGATGCTTTGTGATGGGAGCCCTGAGAACTAATACACTCTCCCCTCTCCATCTCTTTCTGAGAGGAAGAGACCAGCAGTTTGGTTCTCATGGCTCTTGACTTCAGCCATGAGTGCATCTCAAGAGACACGTGCCTGGAAGGTGAGCTGACCCAAAGAGAGGGAACACCCAGTGAGAGTGGGGAATTAGCTACCGGGGGGAGAGAAGGGAGAGCCGAAAAAAGAACAAGTGTCCATGAGGATCTGGTGTTAACATGTGAAGGTAACTGGGTCAGAAAACATTGGTAACCTCAGATGTCTATATAACTAAACCTCGAGAGTGTGTAATGCAAGGCAGAAAATATGATTTCATAGGACACTGGATAAGACAGGGCTTACGAATAGATTGTATTTTAAAAGAAGAGAACAACCTGTAAAGTAGAAAGGTGGAAGAGTGTTAAATGTCACAGAGAGAAGGAATGACATCAAAATTTATAAATCTAAGGGTAGAAAAATATCAGAGGAGGAGCAAAGTACAAATTGGATGCAGCCACATGGACAAAATGATTGATGTCTTTGTTTTAACACAATTGATGAAAGTGAAGGAGAGAAGTTATTGTAATGAGTGACTTTGACTATCCAGACATCTGTTGGAAAACTTATGTGGCTAAAAGCAAGGCATCTGATATATTCCTAACTTGTCTGGGTAGCAATTCAATCTTCCCAATTGCTAAAGAAGTGACCAGCGGCAAAATGAAAGTCGTAGGAACCTTGGAAGAAAGGGCTTATTATGTCATCTGCTCCCTTTATTTGACAAACGTTTTGAGTGTCATGGCACACAGTATATTCATTTTACATAAAGATGGATTAGGTGTGGTTCCCACCCTCAAGAGGCCCACAGTGAGTATTGAGTGAGCCAGACACGAACATCATGGAAAAATGCACTATGATTAATGCCTTCAATGACTGAGGAACCAACTGTTAGAAGGAAGCACATAGGGAAACAGTAGGGGGTTTGGGTAAAATATCCAAGAAAGAAGAGGACTGTCCATAGTGAGACTTTCATCTTAGGTGTTAAAAAGGCACATTTTCCAGTAAGCGTGAAAGAGAAGACAGTTTAAGAAGCAGATGGCTGGTGAGAGCCTATTGTAAAGCACAGGGGGAAAAAAAAGTACAATGTGTTTTTAGGACATATATTAAGTTAACCTTAGGAATGCATTCCAATATACAGAGAATACAGACAAATATGTGCTTCCCTGGTGGCTTAGCGGTAAAGAATCTGCCTGCCAATGCAGAAGACTTGAGTTTGATCCCTGGATCGGGGAGATCCCCTGGAGAAGAGAATGGCAAACCTCTCCAGTATTTGGGGCTCCCTAGGTGGCTCAGGGGTAAAGAATCCACCTACAGTTCAGGAGCTGCAGGAGACACAGGTTCGATCCCTGGGTCAGGAAGATCCCCCGGAGGCAGAAATGGCAACCCATTCCAGTATTCTTGCCTGGGAAATCCCATGGACAGAGGAGCCTGGCAAGCAACAGTCCATGGGGTCGCAAAGAGTCAGACACGACTGAGTGGCTAAGCACAAAGACAAATACTATTTGATTCCACTTACATAAGGAGCCTAGAACAGTCAAATTCATAGAGTCAGAAAGTACACTGGTAGATGCCAGAGGCTTGGGTGGGGAGGGGAGATGGGGAGTTAGTGTTTCATGGGGACAGAGTTTCAGTTTATGAAGGTGAAAAATTCAGGAGTGGAAAATGATGAGAGTTGCACAACAATGTGAATGTACTTACTGCCACTGAATTGTACAGTTTGTAATGTTAGTCACCCAGCTGTGTCCGACCCTTCACAACCCCATGGACTGTAGCCTGCCAGACTCCTCTGTCCATGGGATTCTCCAGGCGTGGGTTGCCACTTCCTACTCCAGAGGATCTTCCCGACCCAGCGATCGAACCTGAGTCTCCTTCATTGCAGGCAGATTCTTTACTGTATGAACTACAGAGAAGTCTCAAATTGTACAGTTAAATATGTTTAAAATAGTACACTTTATATTATGTGACTTTTATGACAATAAAAAAAAGCTCATAAACCTCTGTTTGTCAGAGAAGGGGGTTAAAGGAAATCCTAAGAAAGGAAAGATATCAGCAGAGCTGCCCAAGGAAATCTTTCAGTCAGGAATCGAAAGGGAACATATACAAGAGGAAGAAGCACCTCCTTAGAGATGTATTACCCACAGACCTGGGAAGGTAGTGTTAGAAGGCTGACATCCTGAGTCAGCTCCTCCAAAATGCTAAAGTAATGGCTTGTTAGTGTCCCAAGTTCTACTTAGGGTGGGCCCTTGAAGAAGGGGTGGCTGGGCTTTTGCTGGGGCCTATGTCCACAGGCTGGACTTTGGAGTGCACGAAACTCCTCAACCCCTACCTGCTCCTGTCTTCACCGTCAATGGAGTGAAAATGTGGGAAAAAGTAAGGAGATTATAAGGGAGCCCCCGAGTGCTCCAAATGTGGGCAAGACTCTTGAACTCCCGGGTTCCCTGGGAACCAAAGGGAGACTGGAAGAAGCAGAAGGAGACCCAAGCAGGCAAATGCTTTTATCTCAAAATAGAGAAGGAAGGGCTTCTCTGATGGTCCAGTGGTTATGAATTCACCTGCCAGTGCAGGAGACACAGGTTTGATCCCTGGTCTGTAAAGATCCCACCTGCTGCGGGGCAACTAAGCTCGTGAACCACGAGTACTGAGCCCGTGCACCTTAGAGCCTGTGCTCCGGAAGAAGAGAAGCCAGCATGACGAGCAACTTATGCAACTTAACTAGGGAGTAGCCCCCACTCGCCACACTAGAGGAAGCCTGCACACAGCAGGGAAGACCCAGCGCAGCCAGAAACAAATAAAATAAAGGCAAAGAGATGGATTAAACAACAGTACACTTGCAGATGCCTAGCCTGCACTAGGCCTGCCTTCTCCTACATAGACAGCAACTGCCTGAAGCCACGTGGCAGTAGTCGAGCCGGGACTCCATCTAGGTCTGTGCCGTGCCTAGCACGCTCTGCTGTGACATGAAAGGCTGAGTCCCTAGAGCTGGCTCTGTTCCTAATTCGGTGCCGGTGACCTGGGTATTTTCCTGTCTGAGGGCTCCATTCCTTATCTGTAACATAAAGTGACAGGGAATCTGCAGGGCCCCTCTGCCCTGACATCCTCTGCTTTCCTTTGGATCCTGGGCCGGCCTGGTTCAGCTGCAGCCTGGCTTGCTGGCCCGGGAGCCCTGTGCTCACATCCCCACGGATCCCCTGCTGGGGCCCTGCGCCCACTCACCAGCACCGTGTGCTTGTAGGCCCTGTGAATCACGATGCTGTAGCCCCACACGGTCACGTCCACCTGCTTGACCCACAGCGCCAGTGATGGATCTCGGTCCTCGTTCTTGGCTGTGACGACGAACTTGGGGAACGTGTCTGAGTTTGGCCTGCTTCCTGTGGTGCAGAGGATGAGTGGGCAGCTGGTCTGGAAGTCAAAGGGGAAGCCGTCAAAGGTCAGGTAGTGGCCGTAGCCCGAGACGACGCAGGAGGCGTCCGTGCGGGCCTGGCAGTAGTAGAGGCCGCCCTCCTCCATGCAGTACTCGTCGTCCTTGCAGGGGACGCTCTCACAGTGGACGCTGTTGTCTGTGCCGTTGCAGTAGCAGAAGATCTGGCAGTCCAGGTCCACCCAGAAGGTCTCATTGGTGGCAAGCTGGTGCCCTTCGAAGCTGCAGCCACACTCGCTCCGGGTGACACACTGGCTGCCTTGCAAGGCGTAGCCCTCGTCACACTGACACCCCTCGGAGCAGGTGTCCACACAGATGGGGCCCAGGGCCAGGGTCTCACAGGTCTCTGTACACGTCATGCACTCCTCGAAATGACTGTTCTCCGGGCACTCCAGAGCTGAGGGTGGGCAAGGAGAAGAGGGGCTTGAGAAAGGGACAGAGAGCAGAGACAGAGTTTGTGTACACTCATCAGCATGCACGAGTGCATGTGCATTCACGGGTGTATGCACATGTATATGTGCATGTGTGTGCACGCATGGGTGCATGCAATGCACATGTGTGCCTGTGTGTGCATGCATGTGTATATGCTGCATGTGACTCTTATTTGTCCAGCACAGTGAGCTCAGCAAATGCCAAGTGATCAGCACACCGCCAGCTTCACTGGGGTTGATCCATCCAAGATTCCATGAGCCTTTGTCATGTGCCCCTCTAGTGCACTTGAATTTTCACATAGAAGATTCTGGAAGGACGGGCCTGTTCTGAGCATCGGCAACATGCCAGGCACTGTTCTAGGCATTTTAATGTGATTTTTCCCAACAATCTGGACGGTAAGGAAAGCAAATCACCCCTGTCTTATAGGTGAGGAAACTGAAATTCAGTGAGTTCACCCCGCTGGTAAGTACTGGAGAGAGATTCGAACATGTGTTTCGTAAATCTAAGTCTCCGAACTCAAAGACTCTGGAAAGAGAGTCCTGGAAGGAACAAAAGCTTTGAGGCCACAGAGACCTGAGGGTACCGTCTCTGAGCTTCAGTTTCTTCTTTTATTAAATAAGGACAACACTTAACTAGGACCGCTGTTCTGAGGATTAATAACCTGATATGCCAAGTCCACAGTAGAGTGTCAGTAAACGCTATGCTCTTCCCCTCTTATACTTCCCTCCATCACAGACAGGCTTCAGGGAGGTGCCACCACTCTACAAACCGGTCTCACCCTGGGTCTTTCGTCTCTCTGCTCCTGTGCCTTCTGACCCCTTCGGCCTCCTCACTGACTTCAGAAATGGTCACCCCCACCTCCTGTGTTCATGCCCTTGGCCCCACTGGCATGGCCCTCACCGAGCGAAATGCTACCCATCTTCCAACTCCATTTCAAGCTGTGCTTCTGCCTAGAAGCCTTCCTTGATGGATTAAGTCTCTGAGTCACTAAGCGCAGCACATAAAAGAAAAGCATACATCGCTCACCGTGGGGTTCTGCGTGACCTTCCCATTTCTCTCTATTATTTTTGTTGGTCAGAATTTGATATGAGCTGGGGTGAGTCCGGGAGCAGAGAGAAATCTATCTGCAGGTCCGTGTTGTCTGAAGATCTGTGAAGGTCCTCACCCACCATCTCCTGGGAGTTTAAGATCTTGCCTTTAAGGCTCTCTTTAGGTATTATATACAGTCACTCCTTAAGAGGGTTTTTTAATCCAAGGACACAAAGGACACTACAGAGAAATAAAGCGCCTGGCAGTAATAGCTCTGCCGACGAGTACCAACTCGACAGTTCTGCACTGCGGACTGAAAGCCAATCTTTTTCTTCCCTCTGGGCGAAGGGGTTGTCTCCATGTCCATTGACTAGTTGAAGGCTAGTTCAGCACTGATAAAATATGTCTGTAGAGAGGGATTTTCACATTCGTCTCTAAATTATGAATGTTCTAACAGTGACTGCAGGTTTATGGTGATAGCAAATAACATGACTTATTTAAATGGCTCCCATTTTATGACTTATTGTGTTGTCTGAATGTGTCTGAAAGTCTGGCATATACAGAAACGAAGTAATAAAACTTCTCCTGGCCCCCAAAATGCCTCTGAAATTACTTAATTGGGCAGCCTGACTCTGCCAGTGAGCGCTGGTTAAAAAAATGTCCGAACACAGAAGCAGTGGTCTCTCTCCCAGCCCAAAGAAGATTGTGTTCCTGATTTGCAGTTGTCATGCAATCCAACCCCCACTCTGCAAGATCCTGGCCAGATTAACCTCTTAGCACCCAGAGGCTTGATTATCAAGTGTGTGTGCTCTGTGCCACCTCGCCAGACCCATCCACTCATCCTAGGGCATTCTCAAGTGTGTGCCGTGACCTTCCACCAGAGGAAGCCAGGCTCTACGTGGCTGCTGCTGTCCACATGCCTCCCTCTAAAAGAGGTACTTAAAAGCACTTGCTCCAGCTCTGCAGGCCCTGATGAAGGATTCAGTTTAGTTCAGTCACTCAGTCATGTCCAAATCTTTGACCTCATGGACTGCAGCAAGCCAGGCTTCCCTGTCCATACCAACTCCCAGAGCGTGCTCAAACTCATGTCTATCAAGTCGGTAATGCCATCCAACCATCTCATCCTCTGTCATCCCCTTCTTTTCCCACCTTAAATCTTTCCCAGCATCAGAATCTTTTCCAGTGAGTCAATTCTTTCCTTCAGGTAGCCAAAGTATTGGAGCTTCAGCTTCAGCATCAGTCCTTCCAATGAATATTAAGGACTAGGATTGACTGGTTTGATCTCCTCACAGTCCAAGGGGCTCTCAAGAGTCTTCAACACCACAGTTCAAAAGCATCAATTCTTAAGCACTCAGCTTCCTTTATAGTCCAGCTGTCACATCCATACATGACTATTGGAAAAACCATAGCTTTTACTAGACGGACCTTTGTTGGCAATGTAATGTCTCTGCTTTTTAATATGCTGTCTAGGTTGGTCATAGCTTTTCTTTCAAGGAGCAAGTGTCTTTTAATTTCATGGCTGCTGTCACCATCTGCAGTGATTTTGGAGCCCAAGAAAATAGTCTCTCACTGTTTCTGTTGTTTCCCCATCTATTTGCCAAGAGGTGATGTGACTGGATGCCATGATCTTAGTTTTTTGAATGCTGAGTTTTAAGACAGCTTTTTCACTCTCATCTTAACTTTCATCAAGAGGCTCTTCAGTTCCTCTTTGCTTTCTGCCCTAAGGGTGGTGTCATCTGCATATCTGAGGTTATTGATATTTTTCCCAGCAATCTTGATTCCAGCTTGTGCTTCATCCAGTCTGGCATTTCTCATGATGTACTAAGCATGGTGACAATATACAGCGTTGATGTATTCCTTTCCCAATTTGGAACCAGTCTGTTGTTCCATGTCTGGTTCTAACTGTTGCTTCTTGACCTGCATGCAGATTTCTCAGAATGCAGGTAAGGTGGTCTGGTATTCCCATCTCTTTAAGAATTTTCTAGAGTTTGTTGTCATCCACACAAAGGTTCTAGCGTAGTCAATATAGCAGAAGTAGATGCTTTTCTGGAATTCTCTTGCTTTTTCAATGATCCAACAGATATTGGAAATTTGATCTCTGGTTCCTTTGCCTTTTCTAAATCCAGCTTGAACATCTGGAAGTTCTCAGTTCATGTACTGTTGAAGCCTGGCTTGGGGAATTTTGAGCATTAGTTTGCTAGCATATGAGATGAGTGTAATTGTGCGGTAGTTTGAACTTTCCTTGGCATTGCCTTTCTTTGAGACTGCAATGAAAACTGACCTTTTCCATTCCTGTGGCCACTGCTGAGTTTTCCAAATTTCTGCCATATTGAGTGCAGCACTTTAACGGCATCATCTTTTAGGATCTGAAATAGCTCAACTGGAATTCCATCACTTCTGCTAGCTTTGTTCGTAGTGATGCTGCCTAAGGCCCACTTCACTTCGCATTCCAGGCCGTCTGGCTCTAGGTTAGTGATCACACCATCGTGGTCATCTGGGTCATTAAGATCTTTTTTGTATAGTTCTGTGTATTCTTGCCACCTCTTCTTAATATCTTCTGCTTCTCTAAGGTCCATACTGTTTCTGTCCTTTATTTTGCCCATCATTGCATAAAGTGTTCCCTTGATATCTCTAATTTTCTTGAAGAGATTTTTAGTCTTTCCCATTCTATTTCTATTCTATTCTATCTAATCTTTCCCCCTCTATTTTTTTTGCATTGATCAGTGAGGAAGGTTTTCTTACCTCTCCTTGCTATTCTTTGGAACTCTGCATTCAGATGGGTATATCTTTCCTTTTGTCCTTTGCCTTTAGCTTCTCTTCTTTTCTCAGCTATTTGTAAGGCCTCCTCAGACAACCATTTTGCCTTTTTGCATTTCTTGCCCTTGGGGATGGTCTTGATCACTGCCTCCTGTACAATGTCACGAACCTGCATCCATAGTTCTTCAGGCTCTCTGTCTATCAGATCTAATGCTTTGAATCTATTTGTCACTTTCTCTGTATAGTCGTTAAGGGATTTAATTTAGGTCATACCTACATGGTCTGGTGGTTTTCCCTACTTTCTTCAATTTAAGTCTGAATTTGGCAGTGAGTTCATGATCTGAGCCACAGTCCGCTCCCAGTCTTGTTTTTGTTGACTGTATAGAGCTTCTCCATCTTCAGCTGCAAAGAATATAATCAATCTGATTTAAGGATTGACCATCTGTTGATGTCCATGTGTAGAGTCTTCTCTTGTGTTGTTGGAAGAGGGTGTTTGCTATGACCAGTGAATTCTCTTGGCAAAACTCTGTTAGCTTTTTCCCTGCTTCATTTTGTAGTCCAAGGCCAAACTTGCCTGTTACTCCAGGTATCTCTTGATTTCCTGCTTTTGCATTCCTGTCCGCTATGAGGAAAAGGGCATTTTTTTTGTGGGGGGGGGGGGGTTGTTAGTTCTAGGTCTTATAGGTCTGCATAGAACCATTGATGAAGGATGGGAAGAAGCAATTCTCAGCAGGCATTGCAACCAGGAAAAGAAAGCATCATTCCATGCCCCACACTTACTTCACATGAACAAGGCCACCAAACTGTGCTTGGTGCAGTATAACAACAATCCAGTGACATTTCCTGCTGGGTAGGAGCTCATAGTCTAAAAGGATGACACAGATACAGCCTGGAAACAACATGGGTTGGGTATGGACAGACTCTGTAATCCTGTAACATGAATGAACTATAACTACAAAGCTGAGTGCAGGGGGAGGGACGGAGATCATTGCAGACAAGCTAGAGGTAGGGCAGAAGAGGATGTGGGAGGTGGGTTAATGAGAAGGCCTTGGGAAGGCATTCTGAGGTCCCAGTAGGTGTGGTGGTAGGTAGAAACCTTGGAGCCTCCCTCCCTTTAGGTGAATTTCTGAGAAGAGCATTCCCAGAATTCCAGCTCCAGGATTCACAGCCTCTGCCATTAAACCCTCCCCAGTGTGGTCAGGATCACCAGGGACAAAACCGCCTATCTCTGGGATGACACTCCTTTGGATTTTTGATGCTCAGAAACAAGGGCATTATTATAAAATAAAGATGAGTGTGTGTGTGTGTGTGTGTGTGTGTGTGTGTGTCTTAGTTCTGTCTAAGAATTTTCTACCTAAGGGCTTAGAGGCAAAGTAAGCATATTCCAGTAGTGATAGGTAAGCCTCACCCAGACCTTGGCTTCTTCTTTTTTTTAAAAAATCTTTTGGCCCTGTTGCAATGTCTCTTAGTTTCCTGAGCAGGGATTGAATCCATGTCCCCTGCACTGGAAGCATGGAGTCTTAACCACTGGACCATCAGGGAAGTACCCAGACCTTAACTTCTAATAACACTCTCCACCGAAAGGAACCTGGGCTTCTTGGAGTAATGGTTGATTCTAGGCTGGGGAAGGGAAGGCTAAAAGATGATGTGGAGCATCTAGTTAATCTAGAAAGTAAGAAAATGGGTGGGAGGGAGCTTCAAGAAAGAGGGGACATGTGTATACTTATGGCTGATCCATGTTAATGTAAGGCAGAAACCAACACAGCATTGTAAAGCAATTATCCTCCAATTAAAAACAAATTAATTTTAGAAAAAGAAATAAAATGACAGAAGCCTATGAATAGGAGGTAGGAGGCAACTTGAAGGGGCTCCCACGGGCCAAATTTGAAACAATTTTAATGCCAAAATAATGAACAAATGTAATATATCCCCAGTGGTTCAGTGGTAAAGAATCCGCCTGCCAAGCAGGAGCTGTGGATTCAATCCCTGGGTCAGGAAGAGCCCTTGGAGGAGGAAATGGCAACCCACTGCAGTATTCTTGCCTGGGGAATTCCAAGGACAGAGAAGTCTGGCAGGCTACAGTCCATGGGGTCAAAAAGAGTCAGACATGAGTTAGTGTCTGAGCATGAGCATGAGCAATAGGAAACACAAATAACTGAAAAAAACAAAACAAAACAACAGGAATCCACGTGTCCATATTGATAAGATAGATGAAGGACTTCCCTGGAGGTCCAGTGGTTAGGACTCCACGTTTCCAAAGCAGGGGGCATAGGTTTGACCCTTGGTCAGGGAACTAGATCCCACAAGCTGCATGGTATGCTCCCTCAAAAGATAGATAGATGATTGAGATAAATAGGTGGATGGATGGATAAATGATAGGTGACAGGCAGAGAGAAGAGAAGTGAGGGCTCAGCAAAATAACATCTGCTGACGGGTACTAGTGGAGAGAGTACAGGAGCTGGAAATTGTCAGCTTGTAATCATCGTGCTGAAGATCAATATGAGCATAAGTCATTGGTGGGCACTAAATTGAGGAGGGGGACTCTGAGGACAAGCAGGACACTGCATGGTCTTAAAGTATTTCCCCACAGAGTGCTCATTAGTTGCACGGGAGAAACCCCATAGTGACACAGAGTGAAGACATTTGACAGCTCCTGACCAGGGGATCGACATGCCCACCCCTAATGAGAGGAGGCTCTACACAGGGTGCCACCCATGTGACCTGATACCAGGAGGAAAACAGGCATCTCCTAAGCAGGAAGCTTGGTGCAATGTACAGTGTTACCCCATCATGGGGATACATCCAACCCAAACGGGGGGCCATTCTCTTTCAAAAGAGGAGAGACTCTTTCTTTAAAAATGACAAGATCATTAGAGACAAAGAAAACTAAAGAATTGTTTCAGGTTTAAGGAGACCAAAGAGACATGACAACTAAATGCCACATGGGATCCTAAGACTAGATCTGTATTGAGAGAGGGCTAAAGCCATAAAGGACATTACTGGGTCAACTGGCAAAATTGAAACACAGATGTTAAGTTATCACATCAATGTTAAGTTTCCTAAGGTCAGTAACTGTACTATGCTATGAATGAGTGTCCTGATTCTAAGGAAATACAGACTTATGTATTTAGGGGCCAAGGGATATGATCTCTGCAACTTCTTTTCAAACAGAGAGACAGTGAGAGGGAATGACAAGCCCAGTGGGGAAAAATGCTAGTAGATTCACCTGGGTTAAAGCTTTATAAATAGGCGTGTACCTTCCCTGTAACTTTCAAGTTATTTCAAAATAAAAAGTTAAATAGGAAGAAATACAATGGGAGAGAGATAATCAGACGTGAGGGATGGAATTCTCAATGGTGGAGCTGGTCTTGGTGAGGTCTGACCTTCTTGGTAGGGAAGAGATATGGAGATGTAGTCCAGGTGGGTCAGTCCTGGTTCCAGGCCTGGGTCCCACCTCCTCAGTCAGCCCTCCTTCCACCTTTCCACTTACTCCTTCCTCTGGGCTCCCCCATCTCCCTCCCTTGTAGTTCAGTCAGTAAAGAATTTGCCTGCAGTGCAGGAGACCCGGGTTTGATCCCCGGGTAGGGAAGATCCCCTGGAGAAGGAAATGGAAACCCACTCCAGTATCCTTGCCTGGAAAATCTCATGGACAGAGCAGCCTGGTGGGCTACAGTCCATGGGGTCACAAAGAGTTGGGCACGACTGAGTGACTAACGCTTCCTTACACTTATTGGGCTCCCCATAGCCAAGGAGGTTCTCTATCTCCTCTTCCCAGCAATTATTCTAATTACTGTAGTGCCAAGAGGGGTGAGACATTCTGGGGACAAAATGTAAAGTCAGCTACATGGGGCTCTTCATAACCATTGTCAAGTTGTCCTTGGGAATAGGGCTAATCTCTACTCGGGAGAAGGAACCCCGACTGATCACTTTCTGTTGAAATGAATGGGGTCCTGCTGCCAAGAGAGAAGGCATCCACTGAGCTGTCACAAAGATTTCCGGTGCTTTGACATGATGTGTCTCCTCCACTAGATAAAACCAAGGGTCAAGAGCTAACTGTTCTACAGCGAAGAGGGACTGTGTGATGAGAAACAAAAATAAAGGTGAGAAACAGTCTGGTCTGGGGGGACAGGCCTTCCAGAGGACACCCAAGGAAAGTCTACAAGGCAATTAGATTGTCCTTGAGTGCAGGATTTCACCAGGAAGAGAAGAAGATCCAATGGGATGTCTCAGCTCTTGCCCCGCCCGTCATCCCTGCTGGCCTCCCCCATAACGCAGCCCCAACTCACGGCAGAAGTCATGGGTTCTCCAGGGGCCCACCTCCACATCGGCATTCTTGCAGGCACTTGCGTAGCGGGCCACGGAGTCACAGAGCTCCGACTCGTTGCCCCCGCTCTGACACAGGCGGAAGAGACAGGTGCGGTAGTAGGCGGTGACGTTGACCACACCGTGACACTCCAGGAAGGAGCTGTTGGAGGGGTCGTTGATGACGCCGCACCTGGAGCGGCTGCGGTAGAACTTCAGCAGCTCCGAGTCGTTGCTGCAGGCCTTCAGCAGGTCCCCGCACTCCCCGTTGCAGATCTCCTCGAAAGTGGTCCAGCTCTCCAGGAACACTGCCAGGTTGTCCGTGCACTTGCCAGTGGGGAGACAGAACTCGTCGCTGGCATTGGCATTGAAGAAGCCACACAAGCCCCCCGTGCAGTTGAAGTAGGCCGTGGAGAGCCGGATGTAGAGCAGACCCACGTCTGAGTATTGCACGGTCAGCACACCCTTGGACTCCACCGTCGTGCTGTTCTTGTTTCGATAGATTTCCAGCTTTCCCGAAGGATGGAAAAAAGGCAGTTCCACTTCCTGACCATTCACCTGAAAAATTAAATCACTGTCATTCATCCCAGATACGCACAGAGTGCCCACAGTTTCCTAGGCTGTGAATAAAGACGTGGTTCTGCCCCATGACTAGCCCTTGGAGAAATGTCGAGAAGCTGACAGTCTGTGGAAACCACACAGATGTCAACTGTTTTTTCATGGGCATCTTTGCCGCTTTTTTTCCAGGCTCCTCTGATCCAACACATTTGCTGTGTGTGTGTGTGTGTGTGTGTGTGAGAGAGAGAGAGAGAGAGAGAGAGAGAGAGACCCTGAGCTAGTTCCAAACATTGAAGTGTGAGCAACAGTCACTGGAGATATGTGACTTACTCCTGCGCCCACCCTCCTACCGCCTTCCTCTCCCTTCCTCGCTCTTCAAATCTTATTCTTACTGTGTCTCAGCCCCTAGGAAGCACACGGTATATATATCTAATTATCCAGCTGTCCATCTGCCTATCTACCTAACACTAGTTCAATAAATTAATTTCTGCCAGCATGTCAGTGGGAATAAAAACACAGCCCTTTCAGTTTGTGGATGGATGTTTTATTTACTGCATTGACTTTTGCCTTCTGGATTAGATGTCATGTGATATTATGAAATGCATGTACTATTGGAAGGAGGGTGAACTGCCCTTCCCCCACCCTCCCTCATCTCAGTTCTGCCACCATCCAGTTGTCAGGCCCAGGGCCCTCACTTAGCCTTTTTGGGACTCTCCTATGAAAATGAGGAGTTGCACTAGATGATTTCCAAAAATTCCTTCTAGAACTAATTATCTATGAGCCTGTATGTGTAATATTTTAGACTAGAACAGAGGGACAGGAGGCACCATGGCAAGCACCCTAGCATCACATCGATTTCCATCTATAAATAGAAGATCCAGCATAGTACAGGGTAAAGAGCACAGACTCTGGAGCCAGCTGACCCAGCCTTGAATCTCATTTTAGGGCCGTGTGTCTTTAGGGGAGTCACTTAACCTCTTTGTGCGTCAGCTTTCTCATCTGTAAAATGAGAATAATGTTATCTATGACCCAGGATGAAATGCCATACTGTTTAGGATAGTGCTTGGCACATAGTAGGCGTCCTGTAAGTATTTGCTACGCTGGGGAGCTGGTCCTCCTCTCATCTGAGGAATCCCAGCTTCACTCCATGTCTCCACTTGATGCATACTTGGTGTTGACAGTTTGAAAGCTCTCCCATTTCAGTGTCATTGCGGCCCTAGAATCCGCTCACGGTCAGAGGCAGCGAGGCAAGCCTGAAGAACGCGGCTCCACCACGGGACTCATCGGAAAACTCTCCAAGGCCACAGGAGTCTTACCTTGACCTCCGAAGCCCCGATGCCGCCTATCTTGACCTCTTGGTCGGCCACCAGGATCCGGACACCCCGCAGCCAGGCGGGCCCCGCCTCGGGCTTCTTCTTGTTGATGTCAATCTCCAAGTACTCGGGCCGCTCGGGGCAGGTTTTGAGGAGCGTGTAGGAGAACTCGACGGGGAAGGCGTAGGCGGCGCCGTCGAAACTGTGCAGTACCTGGCTCTGGCTGAGCAGGCACACGGCCTCCCGCTCGGGGAAGCAGCCCTGATAGCCGTCCTCCACGGCACACACCTCGCCGCCGCGGCACGTCTTGTTGAAGCAGTACACTTCGCCGCCCTCCTCGCAGAGGCACTGTACCGTGCAGTTGGCCGTGGCCCAGAAGAACTCGCCCATGGCGTAGTAGTGGCCGTCGAAGTCGCAGCCGCACTGGTGCAGCGGGACGCACTGGCTGGAGCTGAGGACAAAGCCTTCGTTGCACTCGCAGCCCTCCGTGCAGGGCGTGACGCAGTTCTGCGAGGCCGTCAGATCCGAGCACGTGTCTGGGCAGCTGCTGGTGCACACGGAGTAGTGGCTGAAGCTCGGGCACTGCACGGTGGACACTGACGTGGGGGAGAGGAGAGAGTGTGACAAGGTGAATGACCCCGGGGCTGACCGGCCAGATCCACCACGCACGGGGGGCGAGGGGGGTGTCCTGGAGGAAGAACGCCCCTTCCGGACGGGTTGGTTCCTGGAGGAGGGTCTAGCGGGCACTCGCTGGGCGAAGGGAGACTGAGGTTGTCTCTGTAGTGAGGAGCTCAACTCCTTTGGTAATAACTACTGAGCTGCGAGATGGATTAGAACCTCATTTGATCATCTTGGAAGAAAGATGGAAGAAAAAAAAAAGGATGGAAGAAAGACTGGAAGAAAACTTCAGGTTACTATCCTAACTAGATTTGACCGATTATTCAATACAGGTTTAGTATTGAGTGATCTACAACCAGAGAGATGGTTTAAGATATTCAGCTGATGGGTGTATAAGTTGGTCTGATTTTCAAGAGCACGCCCCATTCTTAGAAGGAAAAAAATCCAACTTGCAGGAGAAATGAAAAAGGTAACTCTTAGAGGAGGAATTTGAAAAGTGAATTTCTGAACAGGGACCAAAGGAAACAGAAAATGAATTCTCTGGGATTTGAAAAATAAGAAAGAACCTTGGCTATCTGAAAAGAACCTGTGTGCCTGTTCCCCCAGGAGACTAGATTGGAACTAGATGCCTTCCAAAGGCCCTTCTTGCCTTGGAAGCATTCAATTCTTATTTTAAGAACACCTGACTCTGGTTTGGGTCTGGTTGAATCCAACAGGCGGGTGCTCAAGAGCCTGGTAGACTAGTTCTCTGAATTAACTCTAATTCATCCCACTGAAGTGAAAGACAGAGAGAGAGAGTAATGTGGAGGGTAGGAAAGCAGTACCACTGGAAAAAATTAGCCATGATAGGCAAAAATTTAGGCAATTGGATGCTCTTAGATTATACAAGGATTAAAAAGAAGTCATAGTCAGTCTCAGCTTGAATCAGCATTTGGATACTTCAGGTGTTATAGAGGCTGGCCAGTCCCCAGAGCAAAAAAATAAAAAACAAAACTTAAATATATTGTCTTTTAATAGCTTGATTAATTCTGAAAGAATTGATTCTGATTCATATTAATTTCTACGAAGCCAATTTAAACTGATAGGAAAAAATTGCCCTCTGGCCTTGGAATTGAAAGCAACTTTAAAAATCTCACCTCCGTAATAGCACTCTCAAATGCATGGGGTATAATTTTCTATTTACTCTTGTGGATAAAACCAAGGCCTAGGAAAGAAATAAAATTCCAACAAGTGATTTGGGTTTTTTGTTTGCTGGTTTTTAACATTTACATTACTAGGAAGAGTAGTTATAGAGAGAAAGTTGCATAGGAGGAAGCCATAAAACAGCTAAATGGTTCCAAACACTCAATCCAAAAGTGTAATTCCAAGGGGACAGGTGGGTTTCCCACACTGTCGGGGCTTTTCCTCACCACACAGCATTTTAGAAAGCCTCTACCTGCCCTGCCTACTGCTCCTTCTCTGACCAGCTGAAATGCTCCAAAGCAGAAGTCATAGAGCTTGGAGGGACTGCAAGTGAAGAAGAGCCAAAGGCAAAAATGCTGTGGGTTCTATATAAATATCTGAATGGTGCATTCTTTTCCCCAAATCTGGTCTTGATTCCCCAGGCCAGTGTCCACATTTCCACAATGGCCTTGGAGATAGACATCTCCAGGTTGGACTGCCCCCCTCAACCTTGCCTTGGCCACTACTGCTTATGGCCCTACTCTGGCCACACATTCCATGTCTCCAGACCACAGATGCTTATTAGTGGTTTCTTGTTTTCTGATCACCATTTTGGATGGGGAGAAAGGTCAAGATCCTTTTATAGTTCATTCTTTATCATTTGCGATACTTCAACCTCATCCTGACCCTCAGGTAATGTGTCTTAACAGGGAGCTCTCTGAGGAGACTGGAAACCCTCTCCCAGCCCCCCTACACACAAACGGCTTTCCGTGTGGACGGGATGCCAGCTTACCACACCCAGTCTGGATGCGCCAGTCTCCGATTGGAACGCCCAGGCCTTGGCACACGAGGGCATAGGCCTGGATGGCCTGACACAGGAGGGTCCCGTTGTCCCTCACACTGCACAGGTCATACACGCAGCTGTGCACGAAGGCCGTGGGGTCCATAACAGTGCCACACTCCCACAGGGGGCCGTCCGTCCTGTTGAGGAAGCCGCAGTAGTCGGGACCAAAGTAGAGGGCCTCGGTGGCTGTGTCGCACTGAGTGCAGTTGTCCACGCAGCCCGAGTCGCACTTCCACTCGGTGTGGTAGACCCGCCAGCTCTCTCCCAGGTCCAGGACTGACATGGCCGGCCTGCCGTCAGGGCGCAGGAAGTCATCCAGAGGGTTTTTGTTGTAGTTCCCGCAGAGTCCGCACGTGGAGTTGATGTAGGAGCCTGGGATGGAGATGGAGGCGTAGTGCTGGCCGTCAAATGTCACTAAGAGCCCAAAATCTGTTTCCACGGCAGTAGACATGCCACTCTGGTAGATTTTCACCGCCCCCAACTCTAAGGTGACGGGCAAAGAAGCCACTAGGTCATTGACCTGCCAACAACAGCAATAGTGAAAAGGCAGGTGAGCGGAGGCCAGGGTAGCGGGTCCAGCTGAGGTCAGGAGAAGGAGGAGGAGCAACTCAGCGCCCCAGAGTGCGTGGCCCCCAAGCTGCTCAGGCACCAGAGGGCGGGGCTTGCCTCCCAGGAAGGCAGAGGCCCCCGGGACCCTTGAGAGCAGGCTGGCATTTGAGTTGTGACAGATATGCACTGCTTAATGCCACTCTAGACCCCTCTGGGGACCAGCTGGTGGTCAACACTTCCTGCCTGGCTCTCAAGGCACATGTGCATGCTCAGTCATGTCCGACTCTTTGCAACCCCGTGGACTATAGCCCCCCAGGCTCCTCTGTCCATGGGATTTTCCAGGCAAGAATACTGGAGTGGGTTGCCATTTCCTCCTCCAGGGGATCTTCCTGACCCAGGGATCGAACCCACGTCTCCTGTATTTCCTGCATGGGCGGGCAGATTCTTTACCACTGCACCCCCTGGGAAACCTGGCTCTCAGGCCAGCTTCAAGTCTTTTCTCAAAAAAGTAGTTATCTGGCTTTTCCTCTTTTCTCCTCAAAGTCCATTCTTAAGTCTCAGCTCAAATCACATACTTTCCATGATCCCTGTGCTGCCTTTGGCACCCCTGGACACTCCTCCCAGCAGGCAGGGGCACTATAAACCATCCCACACCATCAAGCTTTGAGGCTGCCCTGGTGTTATTCTCTGAGTATTTCACCCCGTCACTTCCTGATACCAGGACTTTGTCATGTCATCATTCAACACAACAAATTTGAACACCTACTAGGTACCAAGCACTATGTTAGGTGTTGAGAAAAAAGAATTTAAAAAAGTAATTGTCCCTGCCCCTGATGAATTCTTGGTCTCCTGAGGAAGAGAGACACAAATATCAATTGTTTTAATTTACCAGTTAAAATATGCATTCATAGGTGATGCAGTGATGCAGTGGGAGAGGGGGACCACTGATCCAGCCTGGGGAGGGGGCATTCATATCAGCTTTTTAGGGGCAATCAAGTCTGACCCAAGTCTTCAGAGATAAACAGAAGTGGCTGAAGGAAGAGTAAGGCTCAGAGAATTCCAGGACAAGAGAATGAAGTTGCATGGTTAGACAGAGCTGCATGAATATGAGGACAGTCATCAGGTGTTGCTGGACTGCGGAGGGAAGGGGTGGCTGGAGAAGAAGGTGGAGACACAAGCAGGGTCCGTTCATTCAACAGAATAGCCCTTTCTGTGTGTCCAGCTCTGTTCTAAGAGTTGGGGACAAAAATGTGCTTCTTGGAACATCTGTTTTCCTTCAGGAGACCAACAACAAACAAAACCAATAAGGAAAATAGATAAGAACACCAGGAAACTGTTCTGCAAGAAAATAAAGCTGGGAATGTGAGTCCAAAGTGCTAAAACGTTTTTGATTTTAAATAGGAGGTTCAGGGAGGGCCCCCCGGGGAAGGAGACCTTTGAGATGGGGAGGAATTCATGCCATTACCTGGGGTGAGTGGCTTGGGCAGAGAGTACAGCCAGGCCCTGGGGTGGAGCATGCTGGGCACACTGGGGACACATGGGCCATGTGGCCGGAGTGGAGAGCCAGGAGACGGCAGTGGTCAGTGAAGTCAGAGAGATAAGGGCAGCCAGAACAGGCAGGGCCTTGTTGGCCATTGTAAAGACTTTGGCTGTGACTCTGAGGGAAGCCGAGAGGGCGCGCAGAGCAAAAGATGGACAAGATCTGACTTCCGTTTTGGGAGAACTGCGCTGGCTTCTGTGTTGGGAACAGATCTCAGAAAAAAAAAGTTGTTTTTAAGACAAAACGAAATCCCACTAAAACAAAAAACAGCCTGGATTTCTCTTCTGTAGCAAGAGCTCTGAAAAGTTTTAAGCAAGGGAATGACATGGTCAGACTTGCGTTTGAGGAAGTCCATTCTGGCCAGTGGGAAGGATGTATTGAAGTAGACAGAGATGGCGTGCTTGCTCAGTCACTCAGTTGAGTCCGACTCTTTGCGACCCTGTGGACTGTAGCCCGCCAGGCTCCTCTGTCCATGGGATTTTTCAGGTAAGAATACTGAAGTGGGTTGCTATTTTCTTCTTCAGGGGATCTTCCCAACCCAGGGATTGAACCCACATCTCTTGCAGGTGGATTCTTTACCACTGAGCCTCCTGGGAAGCCCAAGTGGAGGTTAAAAACAGAGAAATCAGGCAGGTAACTGGTGTTGGGGGCCAGGGGCAATGGAGGGGAAGGCCTGACCTGCCCACAGACGTGGAGAAGGGCCAGCTGGTGGAGGATACTCCACAGGGCCTGGGGCTTTTTGCAGGGTGTGTGTTTGTGGGGGGGGGGGAGTGAGGTGGGTGAGAAATGGGCAAAGAATCAAGAGTGAGTCCCGTAAGTAGCTTGATAAGCCTTCAGTAGAGTTTGTTTTCTTCTTTCTCACACTTACCTGCCTGGCACCTCCGGACATCACTTTCTGAGGGGTGGGATAGACAGTTAGTCCTAGAACAGTCCTGGGTGGGCTGCTTGTCCACCAGTAACTGCTTGTCCGGGCTGCCCTGACCTGTCCTCGTTTCTGGCACATGGAAACATCAAGGGTCTTTAGTGCCACTATTGCTGTTACTCTCTGGGTTGTCTAGGATTTGGGACAACAAACTGACTGGGCATTGCTCCCAAGGTTTACCATGCCAATGCCAATTGCAATTCTCTGTCCCTAGAGATTAGTAAGACTTAATGGGGGGAGGAGACCAAAAAAAAAAAGGAAGGCTTGAGATGTAAGCCATCCGATGAGAGTTAGAAGTAGGAAAAAAATCCTCTAGAGTTGACTGATTCATCCTTATCTCCCAGGTAGCAAGTTAGCCTGCAAAGATGAGAAGAGCCATGCTCTAAGGGAGGTCACCCAGCAAGAGCACTGGGTGATTATTGTGTATTGTTCTGTGCTGAGACGTAGGAAGGGACATCTTCTCCAAGGTGGTATAATTGTAAATGCCAAATACCTCCCTCGCTGAATGTCCTCCTGTCCTCTCACTCAGCTTCTGCTCAGAAAAGGACAGTTGTTGCATCTCAGAGCAGAAGCCACAGAGCGGGGACTGTGCCTGGATTTGCTACTGCCCCCCTGGTTTCTCTGCAGCTGATCTTGTCCCACTCAGAACGCCTGTGGCCCTACGCTGACCATCATTGTTGCCCAGGTATTTTTCCTGACATAAGTGGTCATTGTGCCCCCTTCCTCTCTCATACTTGTCTCAGTTTCAACCACATGTTATAGTCCTATGCTTGTACCCCACAGAGCTCAGGGTAGGAGCTCCGGGGACTCTTTCCATCACATGGCTTCTTATTTCGTTCCTGGCGTCCCAGTCCTCAGCTTCCGATGAGCCAATGTTGATGAGTCTCCCTGTTTGGGTCTCGTCCTCTCCCTATGTTCCAGGCAACACCCCCCCACACACACACACCCCAATCATATTTCTCCCAGAAGAGGAGTGAGAGGTAGCATCCTAGAAGGACAGGTCTTAGAGTGAGAATAGATTTTGGTGGGAATGGCAGTGTGGAAACAAGTGTGTATAGCATGCCTACTATGTGGCAGGTTTGGTACCAGCTGTCACACATGTGGCTGCCCTATTTCATCCTCAGAAAAATCTAATAAGGTCTTTATAATCTCCCTGCTTTGAAGATGGAGAAACTGAGGTTCGAGGCTTGCATAATTTGCAGGTGACAGAACCCTCCCACTTTCGACTGTTCCCTGCTGCCTTTGTCTGGGGCTCAATAGAGGGAGTCAAGTCCAAACTATAGCCAAGAGCCCTGCCTTCCAGACACAACACAATGACCCCATTTTATAGATGGACATAGTGAGGTTCAGAGAGGCCTCTCAGCTGGCGTGGTGGCACAGGGCTTGAGTAGGTCTAACCCCAGAGCCCGATCTCTTTGTCACCATGAGCTATTTGGCATCGGCCCTCTTCTCCCGGGTGCACCCTAAACCACCCAATTTTATCTGAGGGAGAAAGGTGAAAACCGATAAGTATTAGCTAGAAGGAGGCATTTTCTATATATGGGTGCTAGCTGGGGTTTTGGGGTTTTTTTGCCCCTATTAACATATACAATCCTAAATTGTTTATTTTGTCACCTAAGAATATTTCAAAGGGGGAAAATGCATATTCAGAACCCAATTCCTAACCCCAGCTTATGGAGAAAGGCGATCGGTTCCTAAGGTCTGTTTGCCGGCCTGGCACGTCTGGAAGTCGGCTGCCTCGCAGGCAAATCAGGTTCCTTCTTGCCTCACGCCCCCTCCTTGCCTGTCCCCACATCACCCTGGGTGGGGGCTCTGCCATCCACGGAGCCGCCTCCCCCGGCAGAGCAGGTGTATTCAGAGACGCTTGGAAGCCATTTGGCAAAAGGAAAAGGGAGCCATTGTTTGCCTGCAGTTGGAATCACATAACCTTTTCTTTCTGAAACATTTACATTCACATCCACACCTCCCTGTCGCTACAGAAAATTGAGGAATCCGTGCCCTCCACTCGGACGATGGAAGAGAGCCACGCAAAATTAGCAGAGCTGCTGGGCCTGAAAGCGCTGGCAGTGCCCCTTTCCTTCCAAAAAAAAAAGGGAGTCTGACTGTGAGGGGAAAAGAATTTTAATCAAAATGGAAAATAGGAATAAAGCATGAAGCTTTCTTTTTCAACTATAGATATTGTACACATGATCCCCACAAGACAAGGGGGTAGGGGAGAGCTAGTGAGCATTTTTCTAGCTGGAAATGTTAGCATCTATCTGCAAGGACAAATGTCCTGCTCGACAGCACAAGAGAAATTTAAAAGGGAAAAACTCCAAACTTCCGCAGCCAAATTCTTACCTTTGATTTGATTTACAGAGCTGTCTCTAGGGAGACTAACCAAATAACAAGCAAAATGGCATTTCAACCACAGTAATAGCCTACTTTTCTAATTATGACACAGATATGCTGCACAGACCTAGGAGGGGCAGAGCCAGAAAAAGTGGAATTAGTTTCTCCGTCCTGCCTTTTGTTGGGTACACTGCATCAATTAAAAGTACAAAATGTATTTTAAAATAAAAAGAAAGACCTTCCTGTGTTGGCATCCGTTCTGGTTTGTAATCTCTGCGATGACCTCCGTGCTAGGGGATTAAGGACTCCATGGGGTTGCAGCAATCAGCCCCTTGTGGTCCTGGTTATTACTGCTTGAATAAATACTCAGCTACCACAGGGTCTTCATTAACATCATGAAAACTGGGGCCTCCACAAATTGAGTAATTGCTAGTAGTTTTTTGTTCTCTCTCTTTTGTCAGTGCCCTGTCCTGATATCCAGGTGGATGGGGACGAGAATCATTTGCATAGGTTAAACAAACCAAACCGAACCAAACCATAGAGATGTGTTCTCTCACATTCCAGGCAGGAGTAGGGGGGTGGGGGGGTGTTAAAGGAGCATTTGGGCAATTACTGTAACTTTCCATCCAGGTTTTACTAAAGAAGTCACCCAGCCCACTCTAACTGTCTGGACAGACAGTGCCTGTGGACACACCAATCAATTTAGGGGTGTCTCTGAGAATGAAGTCACAGCTCTTTGGCAAACAGAATGAGTGGGTGGGGTAAGGATTATTAATCAAAGACTGTAGTGAATTATGGGTTTGTATGTTGTGTTTACATTGACTCCAGGGCATGGCCATGTGGCTACCACTGTTTCAAGCCAGGTCTATGAGAAACTAAATTTACCTCTATTCCCAGTTACTTCTGAGCTTGGATGTACATGTGTTTGTGTGTGTGTGTGTGTGTGTGTGTGTGTGTATAAGGAAACTAAGAACTTAAATGTACATTAAGATACCCAGCAGATAGATGTATCAAAGAGAAAGCTTAGCTCTTGCACAAACAGACTTTAACCTCATGAACAATTTTACAAGGTATTTGCAAGGCAGGAAGAGCCATGCAAGTCTTTGGTACCAACAGCAAACAGCAGAACTAGTAGATCTGGGAAGGTCTTCCCCAGGATGAAGCATCTCCAGCTTCCCCACCTCCCCATGGAGGATGGAGAGGGTCTCACCTTGACTTTTCCATAGCTTCCTTTGGGGATGAGAATCTTGTAGCCATTCACCTCCACCGAGAGCTCCTTCACCCAGGAGACGGCTGAGCCCCCCCGGTGCTCGTTCTTGGCCTCCACGCTGAAGAAGGGGAGGCTGGAAGTCTGCAAACACTGCCGGGCCAATAGGTAGGCACAAGAGCCTTGGAAGTGGAAGAGGAAGCCATCAAACGTGTGGTAGTGCGGCTCCCCGAACACCACACACGTGCTCGTCTCCACCGGGCTGCAGTAGAAGAATTTGCCTTTGGGTTCGCACGCCTCGTAGGGGCTGCAGGAGGCATCCTGGCAGTAGATCTCATTGTTGAAATCCAGACAGCGGCACTTGATGGTGCAGTTCAGGTCATCCCAGAACACCTCCCCTCGCCGAAGGAACTGTCCTGCAGAGTAAGGACAGCAGAACTAACATTTATTGAGCGTTTACCTTCTATGCTGGGCATCAGGCTAAAAGCTTTACTTGCCTTGTACCATTTAACCCACAACAGAAACCCCTGTTAGATTCGAAGTGCTGCTTTCTGTTGTCAAGTGAGGAAACTGAGGCTGAAGAGAAGTTAGACCATTCATCTCAATCACTCAGCAACTCAATGGTGAAGCTGGGATTCCAAGCCAAATGTGTGTGAATCCAGGCTAAGCTCTTGGCAACACTGTCTCCACCGCTGGTGAGCACACTCTCATTCAAGGAAAGACACGTTGTTTCACTCCACTCCACAGGAAAGGCCAGGACACACAGCTGCCCTTGCCTTCCTTTTGACATTAAGAGGAAGGGTATTCAGAAAGAAGGCCCAGCCCCCTCAGGTAACTCAGCAACACTGTTGGTTCATTTGCCAATGTGTTCCTTCATTCACTCATCCGCTCATTCAACGCGCAGTTGTTGGGGACTCAGTGTGAAACGGAGCAGAACCCCATGGTCCTTGCCCCCAGTCCACCATGTCTCCTGCCTGCCTTTTGTCTGTGGAAAACTTCAGTCAAAGAATGAATTTAATCAGAGAAGCGAGAAATGTGGAAACAAAGGAAAACAGTCAAAGGAGACTAAATAATAATAATGTACTCATTAAACATAATCAGGGACCTTTAGTTCTTTCTCAAGGGCTATAGATAATATTCTGAGCCATATCCTGTGAGCTGTCTTATAGATACTGAAACAGCAGGTGGAAAAGTTAACTACATGGTGACCAGATTATACCAAGGACGGGAGTTGCTACAATCCCAAGAACTGACCACAAAGAAATGGGAACAAATGGACCCTGGAACTGAAGATTAACTGTACCTAAAACAATCAAGATGATGCTGGTCAGATCACTGATGACCAGTTTGAAGATGCTGTTAGGATGACTGTGCTGCTTCTGCAAGTAACCCTCCAACCCCAACTCTGTCTATAAGGCTCTCACTCCCTGTCTGTCGGCAGCAGGGAAGGGGGTCATCGACCTCTGGACAGGTGTATGCCCCCCTCCCCCTCCCCCCAGTTGCTGGTGTCTGAAACAAAGCAAACGCTCCTTTCTACCAACCTGGCCTGTCTATTGGCTTTTGAGCGGTGAGCAGCCAGACCCACATACACATACCTTCCAGTAACAAGTAGGTGCCAGAAAAGAATCAGGAGGAAGGCCCACAAAATTAAATCCCAGGCTCCCTGGGAAGATGCTGGAAAGGGCTGACCTCTGACTTGGCACCATCTTGGGCTCGCAAATCCTGCAGACACTACTCAAGCAGAACTTAAATCTACATGAGGTACCTTCTCCCCTCAGCTTTTTGCTCCATACTCAGTCGTGTGCCTCTCTTTGCAACTCATGGACCGTAGCCCACCAGGCTCCTCTGTCCATGGGATTCCCAAGACTGGAGTGGGCTGCCATTTTTCCTTCTCTAAAAGATCTTCCTGACCCACCCTAGGCCCTGTCTAGGTCTAGCCCTCCTCACTCTTTATCCACTGGGCAGAACTTCTTGACAAAACCTGGGTCAGGAGGAGAATGAGGTGGGGAGGGCAATGGTTCTAAGCAATGTGCTAATTCTTTTTTCTAGTTTTTTTAAAAATTAATAAACTTTATTTTTAGAGCAGTTTTAAGTTCACAGAAAAACTGAGTGCAAAATACTGAGAGTTTCCATATACTTCCCATCCTGACACAACTGGGAAGTGCTCATTTTTAAAATACTTACTTCTCTTTATTTGGAAGGTGCTCAGTCTTTAAAACCATTTCCCTAAATGAATGATTTCCCCCCACCAAAACCCTTGAAATTTGCCAGTTCTTCATATCAACCTTCAGTGGACATGGGAGCACCTCTGGGCTGGGGGTTGTGATCCAGTCCTTGGTCAGGGGTCGGAGTCAAGAGAACCGAGCAGTGGTCACAAGTCTGCCATCCACTGCCCAGACCGCCGACCTAACTTCCTCCTGTCTCAGTGCTCCACCTGGAGAAAGTGGACAAGACTACGTTCTCATCTCTGCCTCCTGGGGAACAGAGACACTAGAAAAAGCTGGCACAGGTTGATAAGGTAGAAGCATCTGTACATTGAGAATGTCTGAAAAGGAAAATATCAAAGATGCAATGTTAAGACGTGTAAACAATATCATAGGCCAGGAAAATAACTATAGTTTGAAACTGTAGTTGGAAAAGATTTCTCAAATGTTTGTAAAACTGAATACCTAGGGACTTCCCTGGTGGTTCAGTGGTTAAGAATTCATCTTCAAATGCAGGGAATATGGGTTCAACCCCTGGTTGGTGAACTAAGATCCCACATGCCGCAGAGCAACTGAGCCCATACAGCTTAACGAGAGAGAAGGTTGTAAACTGCAATGAAAGATCCCACATTCTGCAACTGAGATCTGACTCTGTCCAAAATAAATAAATAAATAAATAAATAAAATTTTTAAAAAACTCAAATACCTAATGCAGAGCACAAGGCTGCCAGGTGAGCCGAGGCAGAAGGCAAGGCTACCCCAGTGACAGTCCTTTCACTATCTGCCCAACAGGAACAACTAGGTCTCAGCGGGCAGTTCTGTTTCATACCTGTTGGGAATAGGGCTCCCGAATGAGATAATAGACGTATTCACATTCCCAGTAGGTCAAATGCATCAGCCTTGAAAACAGGCCCTTCCAACCTCAGTGCTCTTTGGCACTAACCCAGGCTGCATATAGTGTAACAGCCTCCACTTGGTATAATTTCCAGTTTCTGCTTTCTCAGCCTTCCAATAAATGAGGGGGAAATGCCTTTGAATAGAGGAGGTTTGGACCAAAAGGTAGACTCTCTGAGATAATTTTGTTTGCAAAATGATGATATAATAAACCCGCTCTATGCAACACTTCCCCTGTTATCACCCAGGCCAAATCCCCATCTCATTAGATTGATATATGTCCAGTGGCACATTAAAATGCACAGCAGTCTGTATAAGGAGATTGGATTTGTCCTATAGATGAAACCCACAGCCATCACTCAGTGGGGGAAAGAATGAAGTCAGAGTGAGGACTTTGTGCACGGTTGGCATCTGGCCAACTCCACAGCTCTGTGAGTCTGTATTTTCCCGTTATCACAGCATTTCACTCCCGGGACCCAAGGAGAGGCTGTCACCCGGCCCTTAGGCAGCATGGCCACAGCCAGTCAGCTCTGTGACACTTGGACAAAGGGAAGAGGTGTTAGGTCCGTCCCCAGTCTGGGCCACAAAGGGGAGAGAGAAAATGGGGCAGTGGTTTGGTGTCTTTCACAGACCTCAGATGAAGCTGTGTTTACACTGTGGAAGGGAGGAGAGTGCAGTCTTTGAAATCCTGGTGAGCTTTGGAGCTAGGTTCTGTTCTGTCCAGTTTAATACTGGCTTAGCTCTAAGCATTTATTTGCTATTCAGAGCATGGAGGACTTGACAGTGCCCGTAGAGGCAAGGATGCCCAGGCAGGCCACCTTCACCCACAACCTTCCCTCAGAGCCAAGGCAGAGGTTTGGTAAGTGTGACTGCAGCACTGGGGATGGGGGCAGAGGCGGGCAGAGGGGGGCAGAGGGTGTGGGCATATCAGGCCAGGTGAACGTGAAAGTGAAGGAAGGTGCAAGTCGCTCAGTCGTGTCCGACTCTTTGTGACCCCATGGACTATATAGTCCCTGGATTCTCCAGGCCAGAATCCTGCAGTGGGTAGCCTTTCCCTTCTCCAGGGGATCTTCCCAACCCAGGGATCGAACCCAGGTCTCCCACATTTCAGGAGGATTCTTTACCATCAGAGCTACAAGGGAAGCCTGAGAATACTGGAGTGGGTAGCCTATCCCTTCTCCAGTGGATCTTCCTGACCCAGGAATTGAACTGGGGTCTCCTGCATTGCAGGATTCTTTACCAGCTGAGCTACCAGGGAAGGTGACTCTGGCTCTTCTGATTATTACACAAATTGAAGCCCCCAGGGCTGCCGAGACACATAGGTCCCCTGGCCATCCTTTCAATGGAAGGACGGAAAGAGACCTCCTGAAAGCTCTATCCCAAACCATAACTTTCTTATGCATCTGGGTGCATTTCCCTGGATCATCTGTGCTTACACAGCACCCTGCACTCGCATCTCTTGTGATAGGTTTTGCAGTTTCATCACTAAGTCCACGGCTGTCTTCTCTACTGTAGGGTCAGAGGAGTCCAGAGCAACTTCATCTTCAGCACCTAAGAGAATGGCTAGCGTCTCATTTGGGAAGATGTGGTGGTTGGATGGCTGAATGGATGGATGGGTAGTTGGGTGGGTAGGTGAGTGGGTGAGTGGATGGGTAGAGAGGTGGATGGCTGATTTACTAATTCTGGTTGCTATAGCCTCCACTTCTAGAAGCAGAAATATGAACAGAAATCCTGTTTTCTGAATACTTTTAGACATATAAGAAGCAAGAATCTATAAACCAGGACGTTCCTGTGAGAGTCCTGGGCTGTTTTGCACATCCAAAGAGGTTTTGATATTTCAGAGAAGTCTCCAAACTCGGATGCCAATGTAAACGAAACCCACTGAGGTTCACTTATAGCTTGTTCACACAGATGTAAAGCCAGCTTTGATTCTCCCTAAAATCCTGCATGTTTTGCCACTGCTTCAAGGATTTTAGGAGAAGCTACCCTAAAGACTATGACATTTTTCCCCCTTTGTTTCTAATCATACTAGGAAGCACTGATTTACCCTCGTAGAGACTTGGCGATGCTTCAAGTTCGCCCACTCCCGTGGATCTACAAAGTGCAGATGGCAGAGGAGTAAAGATGAGAAGGAAAATTTAAAGGGGGAAATGGCAACAACAACAACAACAAAAATAATGTTAAACAGGAGGTCTCCCTTCTGTCCCTCTGGCTGAGAAATCATTCAAGAGCCTCATGCACTTTGCAGTAGTTCCCTATGGGGAGCTGTGTTCACACCCCAGGCAAAGACTTCAGAAATCGCAGTATGGCCAATGCAGGCTTCAGTTCCTGGAGTGATGAATGTGCATGCTAAAATTACCTTGATCTCTATTATCCAGCAGAGCGGTGTCAAAAGAGTAAGGCATCAGCAATGAGCCCGCCTCCGTGGCTTAAAAGCCTGCCTGTCAATCTAAACTAAACAAACCCTGCTCTGCCTCAGAGAAGAGGAAATGCCTTTACCTCTGGAGGTGCAGCCATTGGCTGGGTCAATTTCCTTCCCGTCAACTTTAAATGCCCAGCGACCTGGCACATTGACGTTTGTTGTCTCTTGAATGTTCACAATATCAGGGGTTCTTGACCCCGGCAGGCTGAAGAAATTGGTGAGGTTTCCACCATTAAATCCTGCCTAGAGCACAAAAGAAAGAGCAGACTTCTGAGCATACACACCATCCCCATTTGGTTTACTTGCCCAACGTCTTAGTCTCAGAGCCCAGCACATCCTGAAATCAAGAGACAAACTTTTAACTTTTCCTGGAGCACCTGGGGCCACCACTCCAAGTGACAGAGGCCCACTGGTTCATGCCACTACCTGGATCAAGGTAGCAAAGACAGGCGAGACTAGTCCCTCAGCGCACCTGCTAGACCAGACGTGCTTCTCCAGTTCAAAGCAAGATCCCTCCCCACCCACCGCGGGATGCTGAGAGCATAGGCAGAGAGTGCAGTGCTCCAGAAACACGTAAAGAATGACCCAGAGTACCACCTACTTGCGCCATCACTCCCCCAAGACCTGTCAGGGGATCGCCACCACTCGCGGTGCCAGTGGTCCAGTTGATCTCATAATAATTGAAGAGCGTGAATGTGTAGGAACCATCAGATACCAGGACGGCCTGGAAGGTGTTCACCTGCAGGATGAGAATGGGTGGGTGCGGGGGTCTCATGACTCGCATTCCCCACCATCTCCCCAGTCGCAGCTTCCTTCACCCTCCCCCCTCCTCACCCCCAAGCTGCCCAGAGCGGCTGCCAGGCCCCTCTTGCTCTGCCTTCTCTCCGAATACATTCTTGCCTCCAGTGGGAAAAGCAAGACATGTGGGGTTGTGCATCCAGAAGAGAAATTGCCTGAGAATTACCTACAGGCTGACTCAGCGCCCCTCTTAACATCTCTGAGTGGTACCAGAAGGGAAAGTCAGAGGCCGGCTCAGTGTGTGATAATCCTGAGTACCTATAGATGGCAGCATGAGAATAAACTATAGGAAGCCGTCAGGTCGGGGAGAGGGCTGTGAGCACCTGTTCCCAGAACTGTGGGGTGGGCTGGGGGAGGGGGAGCAGGGCACAGAAATGCCAGTCGGTGTGACTCCAGTGGTGGCATGGGCCTTTTCTCTGGCTCCCTGGAAAACACGGCTAACCTTGGTGAGATGTCTTCCCCTCTCTTAGGTGAAGCTTGGAAAGTGCTTTTTAAAAAGCACGTTGTGGGGAGAAATTACTCCTCCAATGGAGCATTCATGCATCACTTTATATCTGCAAAATTCTCACCGCACCTCCCTTCCCATCTGTACCTCATCCAATATTAAGATGGGCAGTTTTTTTGGCCCATTCACATCTCAGGAGCTAAGAAAACCGAGGGCTGGGACTTCCCTTGAGGTCCAGTGGCTAAAAATCCACCTTCCGAGGCAGGGGACCCAGGTTCAGTCCCCGGTTGGGGAGCTAAGATCCCACATGTCGCAGGGCAACCAAGCCCTGGAGCTACAATTACTGAGCCTGTGCATGCTGCAGTGAAGACTCAGGGCAGCCAAAATAAATTTTTTTTTTTTTAAAGAAGGAAAACTGAGGGCTAAGGGAAACAAATTGATGGACTTGCCACAATGATCCAACAACAGAAAACGGGACTGGACCCAGAGCTCCCAGTCTGATCTCCGAGTGCACTGTCATTACACACTGTCTTAATTTTCAACTTTTAAGGACAGAGATGTTATACAAATTCAAACCAGCCCTGCAAACAGTTTCCAGAAAGAAACTGTAGCAAACGCTGTCCTTTACTTTTTTCCTTTGCTAATCCCTACCCCTTGATGTGTGTTTTCAGGAAATTCAAGTAAAACTAGAGAGAAAAGGAGAGACTGCTTTGACCTTTCCCATTCAAACCCAGCATTTTCCCAGCTGCCTGATACCATCCTGGTTAACAATCTGTCAGACGCAGAGGAACACCCACATCCTTATCCTGTGTAATCAAACTGGGCGAGAGGATCTTGGAAGCCCCAAATCTCCCATCCTAGACAGTCCCAGGGAGGGAGAAGAGGTGCAAGTAAAGAAAAGCCGTTTTTGTAACCAAGAACTCTCTCCTCAAGCTCTGCGCTTGCCACGGCCGATGGCGTTCACGATAGAGCCGCCCAGGTATATGCCTCCTTCTCTGGCCTCGCGCAACAAAGAAGCAAAGTGGGACACAGAGGGGACCAAGCAGTCAGCCTCATGCCTCTGTGGGGTCAGGTTCAATAGACAGGCATAAAATCAAGGTCATGCAAAGACCAAGGCTAAACCCTCCTTCAGACCAGGATGCTCCTTCAGGATGTGAATTCCTTCTGAAATAAATTTGGAAATATCTTTGATCCAAGCAGGTCTTGAAAGCAACGCATGTCTGACCCCAGAAGTCAGCTCATAACCAACTAATCATGCTTAAGAATGTTCCAGAAGCTGGCTCACCCTCAGGCACCTTCTCACTCTCACACACACGCCTCCCCCCCCCAACACACACACACAGGTAGTTCTACAACCTGCGTTTAAGACTCTTCTGGATCTGTTTTTGTAAAACCATGTTTTCAATTCTTGAAAAGCCCTTTTGTGCTACTTCGTGTTCGTGCTAAGTCGCTTCAGTCCTGTCTGACTCTTTGTGACCCCATGGACTGTAGCCCACTAGGCTCCTCTGTCCATGGGGTTTGCAGGCAAGGATGCTAGAGTGGGTTGACATTTCCTCCTCCAGGGGATCTTCCTGACCCAAGGACTGAACCTGCATCTCCTGCATTGGCAGGCAGATGCTTTACCACTGAGCCACCAGGGAAACCCCTGTGATACTTTAGAGGCCTTTTAATGCTACATAACGGGGGCAATGGAGGAAAGAGGTTAGGATTTGGAGATAGGAGACTTGGTTTGCACCCTGCTCTGCCTTGTATAAGGTTCAAATCCCTTTTCTTGACCCTTGGGCAAGTTATTTAACCTCTCTGGGCCTGTTCCCTCACCTTTAAAGTGGAAGGCGAGCTTCCACGGGTCAATGATTTGCAGGCATAGCCTAATACAGCCCGAGGTTCATGGCCAGCCTCAATAAATATTAGTTTTCCTTCCTTAAAGTAAACAGGTCCCCATCCCCTTGACTTTCTATTGGACTTCTAAAAGCTCTCTCATGTCCTATGTTTAACTGGCCTGTTGATATGTGTTCTTCTAAAGAAGGGGAGACCTGGGATAAGGGTAAACAGGAGAGGGGGCAGATTTCAAAGACAAGGATGGATAGACACTCCTGCAGCTCTGGAGGATTTTTATCATCTTTCGCTCCCAGGAGCTCAAAGCACTTAGATGTTACCTCATTCATCCTCATGGAAAGAGTCCTCACCTAGTCTAGAAATTTACTCCAAAGTACAAACCAGAAAGTATCTAAATTATCTTGCCATTTTTACTGCCAATGGAAGTTTTTTTTTTTTTTAAAAGGTGGTCAGCATTTGATGGGCATTTTTTTTCTCTTTTTTTTCTCCCACTGACACTAAAATTTATTGATCGCTGGCATCCTGCATTCTAACACTGTAAGGTATGAGAGTTGAGGACATAAAACATCACCCGAGGAGTTGTTAGCAATCCATAACATGACAGAGGGAAATGTATGCTTCTTTAGAGGTTATTTCTAGCAATGCATCCCTTGTTTAAACTTGTTTCTTTCTGTGGTCCAGAACATCTCAGCGAGATACAGTGCAACCCGATGCTCAAGTCAGGAGGTGCAAAGAGACAGGGTGCTCACTGCCTGGCAGCTACAAACTGCAAACGCAGCACTTTTTCACCTCTCTCTCCCTCTGTCTCCCTCTCCCCCTCCCTCTCTCCCTCTCCCCCTCTCCCTCTCCCTCTCTCTCCCTCTCCCCCTCCCTCTCTCCCTCTCCCTCTCCCTCTCTCTCTCTCTCTCTAACTCAGTAGCTTTTGTTCTACCCTTAAACAACTGACTCATCCCCAAGGAAATTGGAAAACAGATGGAATTGGAAACAATCCTAAGAAAGCGAAGGGCAGATTTTTGAGTGTCTTTGCTTACTGGAAATTATACATCGAAGACCCATCTGCTATTTCAAAGATCTCCATTGCCAAAGTCACCCAAACAAATGGCAAGCTTTCCTGAAAACTCTGTTCTGTCCTTTTATATAGAAAGTTGATTATCTCTATAATAATGCCAGTGATAATCTTTCTTATTTGACTTTTATTTGATTGCTCATTTGGGATTTCTGAGCAGATGTTTAAACTTTATTCATGAAAACACTTTAACTGCCCATTCCAATTAGCATCAAAGTTGAATAATTCTAGCCCCGGTCACCACTTTTTAAAAAAAGGTCATAACAAAATAAAATGAGCCAGATCATTTGGCCCCAAAGTGGCACCCTATTTTCCTTTTCCTATCAGGTTTTGTGGAAAAAGGGTAAAAAAAAGGAAATTAGCTGATGGAGAGAGGCTTTTGTGCCTCTGGTAAGAGAAAGGGACCTTTGGTTTCCTGATTATTCCCTAATCATAAGGGGTCTCAGTGCCTCAGTCACTCTCCTGCAAAACAGAAATGCTACACACTACAAGGAAAGTGAGGAGGGCTTCTTTATAGACATTTGTGATGATTCGTGACAGAGAGGACACAGCTTCTGAAACATTATTACAGCTGACCAGGCTGGTTAGGTGTGGTAGCTCCCTCTGTTTCCTAAAAAGTGAGTTGGCAAGACTCCTCAGTTTAACTCAAGGAAACCGACATTCTTCAGCTCTAACAATTAGGCTCCTTCAGAGTAGTGAAGATGGATAAGAATTAGATGTTGGGACATGAAGTGGAAAATGGAAAATATGAATGATTACAGGCGTGGTGCTGCTCCCTCCGTAAAATGTGACTTCCTCCCAGGTCACAATGAAAACCCAAGTGGCAGAGAAGGTTGCCATGTCTTTGAAGTACTTCCTGATGTCCTTGGTGGCTCTCCTCAAGATGACAGGGTCCATGGTCTCTCTGTAATAGATCTCGCCTCGAATCCCATTGTGCACATCTGCCCAAAAGGGAGCAATGAAGGCCCTCCCGTCCGTCAGGGGAAAAGATTCAGGTGTGAACTGGCTCACAAGCACATTGAAGGAAACAACTCCGTTGTTATTGACCTACAAAAACAGGAGAGGTTTTGCACAGTGGATCTGAGACTGTGACAACTTCAGAGTCATAAACCAAAACAGACGTTTACCTAATCATATGAATGGAAACAACTTTTAAACCACTGAATTAAAACCTCCAGACAGCAGCTTCCATTGCTCAACTAGGAGGTTCATTTGCTTCCAGACAAACTCATCAATTTCCTTTCACTTTCAATTTGTAGTCAGCGTCATTTCTTTAATAATCAGCCTCATTTTCATGTTCTCTATTCCTGTCTTTGTTTACACTTATCAAATGCTATTGGATTATGTGTGTGTGTGTGTGTATGTATTGAGTTAGGCAGTGGCTTATGTGGACAATAAAGAAGGTCTAGAGTTACAGATGCAAAATAGAAAAAAACGTGGAAGCAAAAGGTTAAATTTAAAAATTAAGGAACTCTGTATTAGACCTTGATTCCTATTATATGACAAAAGAGGAGTGTCAGTAAAAGATAGATCAAATACTCCATCATCAAACTCAGATCTCAGATGAACCACATCCCACTCTGAGACATTTAAAGGATTTCTATTGATGTCACAACCACTCTGAACACAGAAAAGGGACAAGGTAATAATCTACAGATAAGCCCAATTCCATTATAGCTCTTGTAGTCTGGGGACTTCTTTGTGTAATCTCTGAACAAAATGGAGACATGAAAGCTTTACATTGTTTACGTAAATGACTATCTTACAATGATTTCTTCATGATTTGTAAATGGCTTAGTAAGCTTACTAAATTACTAAACCTTACTGCAAGTAACAAGCCAATATGCATACTCATAAGCAGGATCTGTAAAAAATTTGCCTCTGTCTGTGTCTGCAGCTCAATAAGTTGGTCCATGAAGCTCATATAACTCAAGGGCTTGTACAGTTTCAACAGCACGAATGTCAGTGATGGAAATCCTTCCAATTCCTCAATACAGAAATACTCTATTGTTAGGTTCATATTAATTAGAAATATTATGGACATTAATGGTGATCCAGATCCCGGAGGTTAGTTATCAGTATCTGAGCCACGGGTACGTCAACCTATTTTGGAAGCAAGGGTGTGTGGTTTGAAAAGGAAGCTGGAGACCTAAATACAAAGACATTGAGAGCCCACTGTCTGCAAGTCAGCAAACAACCCAGAATCTTGAGCAAGACTACATGACTCTGGAAACTCAGGGAACAATTTGCCCTCAAATAAGTCTGCCCCAATTTAAGGACCCTCCTTCTGCAAAAGCAAGAATTCTTCATAATCCATGTCACACAATACAGTGAAGGAGAAAGAGGAGTTTAACTAAATACACGTGTTTTGGCTAGTGGTCTAGGAGACCAAGGCTTCCAGAATGGAAGCCATGAGAATACCTCTCATCTCCAAAATCAGGTCGATATATTCAGAAACTTACCATCACCTGTTACAGACCAAGGAGACTATACAGTAAGTAGAGCATAAAGGGCAACTCAAGATGCCAGAGCAATGTGTTTTCTAGGAAATAATAGTGTATTTAAAACACACAAACTAGCAGAGGAAGTTTGTGATGACTCAGATGTGTTTCGATTATCTTCTATAGTTAAAGGCAGTGGTTCTCAAACTTTGGCGGGCATCAGAATCCCTTGGAGGGCTAGTTAAACACAGATTGCTGCCCGCCTCCCAGATTCCATAGGTCTGGGGTGGGGCCTGATAAGTGACATTTCTATCAAGTGACCAGGTGGTACTAAAGCTGCAAGTTCAAGGACCATGGATGATGTAATGGAAGAGGAAACTGTTTTCTGGTGGGACTCAGCCCTGAGCTATCAATAAAAAAGCAGAGAAGTCAGAAGTCCCAGACACAGAGATGACCAGAGATGGAGGTGTTCGGAGTTTGATTTCTTCCTCCAGGGCAGAACATAGGAAACATTGGAATGTAATATAATACATTTTTTTCATTCAATTCTTTAAGACCAAAGATAAAGACAGGTTTGATTGCTCTAAACCTTTTCATCAATGTGCGGTAGTCTCACTAGCAGCAATTCCAATGGTAAAAAATAAAAAATAACCTGAGAACACAGGGGCCCAGGAGAGCTCTGACGGCAAATGATACCATTTCTTCATGCAGCTTTGATAGTGAAACCCTATGGCAGATCTCAGACCCTTTGAGGGTGGCTGATTCTATAAACAACGTTAAATAATAGTGGATTACCCCTAGCCTCTGCTCTGCCTCTGCTCTGCCTCTGTTCCAAATTGGTAGGAAGTCCAAGAAGAGCAGATGCCTAAACTCTTCACACCCCCAGAAGGGAAAGAAAAATGAGATTACTCCTATTGGTTGTTCACTGTATCTTTTTATCTTGTCTAGTGGCAGAAATAATGTTCCTGGCATTGGGGCCTCTGCATCTCTTCGGTGTTTAATCACCCACAAAAGCAATTTATTGCCCTGTATACTCCTCTACTATGAACATTAGCCATTAAATATACCTTTGACTTCCTTAATCATAAAACCTATCAGCTCATGAAATCTCAGAACTTGTCATCTGGGCTGCCAATAAATCCTCCATTCCCAGAGTCCTGGAAAAAGGTATTTAAAATACTTTTCCTTAATGACAAACAAGGGGGGGAGAGCCATAGAGCAACAGCTAAGTCATTTCTCACTTACGTAGACAGTACGGTAAGGAACGCCGAAGAAGAAGACGGGAATGGCTAGTTTAATCTCAGATGAGCTTCCATCGTCCACTTTAGGGGTTTTGGTGTCATTCTGCCAAAATGGATACATGAGTTCCCTGGGCTGAACTGTCAAGAGAGAGGGTGGTTAGGTAGACGGCAGATCCCCTCTCCATTAGGCAAGCTGCTTCCCTCCCACCCACTAGAGCTCGCTTCTTCCAGCAAGTTACAAATGGCATGCACGTCAAATGGGCTTTGCATTTATCCTAAACCTCAGATGGACACAGCGTGTGATCTCCTGCCTCCGGAAAGAGGAGCATGGAAGTGATGATGTTTCTCCTTAAGAGAAATCACTTCCTGCTTCATTCTATATTTTCATACATTTAGGAGACAGCAATGGTTATCATTGGCTGGAAGGCTGTGAAATTGACCCTGCCTGGAGCTCTTAGAGCACTGAGCGGTAGCTCTGGGTGTGGCGGGGCTTAGCCGGCTTGATCCTTGATCAGAAGGCAGCACAGAGAATGTGGCCGGTGGCTCTGAAATTCCCTCCTAGCTCAAGAATTCTACTATCAAGGCTTTTTCTGAAAGGAGTCCCTTCTTCCCAATGCACAATAGGAGAAGATAGCAGATCCCAGAGGAAACAGACAATAGTTGGACCTGGGACAAGGGTGGGAGGAGAGGGTTTGTAGTAAGTGGCCCGTGAATGACCTTGATTGAGCTCCAGACCCGTGAGAAGGCTCTCTGCCCGGCTCCTGTTTACAAAGACAGACATGGGATACTCTGGGGCACAGGAGGTTGGGCCTCTGTGAGCTCTCTGGAGAGGAGGCTCGGGGACCTGACTTATCACCCTAGTCAAAGGTGAGAGTCATCACACAGATACATACACCTCACCTCCTGCAACCCTGTCACCACCTCTCTTGGCAACTTGGCTTATTTCTCAAAAGTTTCTCATCCAAACTCTTGCAAAGGGTGGCCCAGTTCATAGAAATTAGAAAGTTTCTCTAGGGTCTTCATTACCAGTGATCAGGTCCAATGGGTTGTGTGAACTAATCTACATTCGGGATTACATTACATTAATTAATTACATTCCACTAATACTTTTTCTCTGCCGGTATCCTTTCTCTTCTTGGATGAAAATAGAGCAATAGGACATCATCTTTTCTTCCATGTTCTAAAACTGTGTGTTAGTTTCCAGGGACAGCGGTGCATCCATCTGGGGCTTCTGCTGACAGTTAATAAGGTACCTGATTGCCACAATCCAGAGGCTGACACCCCATCCTCAGGTTGGGTCGAGGGGGGCCCTCCTTGGAAAAGTCCCCACTCTGTGTTGATAGAGCCGATAGGCTAGTGAGCAAGCTCCTCTGGGAGTCTTTTAGTGAGCAGATAGCATTTCATGGAAGAGAGCAACAGAGTGACCAGAAAGCCACTCAGCAGGGCCAGGTGCCAGCTTCTCTCCTCCTGAAGAAGGGAATTCCAGGAGGTCTGCCTGGAGGAAGAGCTCCTCTGTTGCCAAGGGTTAATATCAGAGGAAAGAGGGGGAAAGGAGTCTGGTCTTTAGTGAACAAGCCAGCCTGCAGAAGTCTCTGCAAAGCTAGCCAAAGGGAGGAGCTTTCAGAGGTGCTATAATTAATTTCATCACAGGAGCTCTCAGCCCTCGTGCTTTATTTAGTGTCACAATCAGTAGACAAGAAAGGATTCTTCTCTAACAGTCATAATTACATAGACGTAACAAACTCCAAATTCCCAGAAGGGAGGAATTTTTTAAAAAAATTTTTTTGTGATCTTTATCATAGTATTCTATACAGGTACTTATTAAATTTGAAGGGTAATGAGCTTTCTCAGATTAATAATAATAATAAATCAAATCTTGCTATGGATTTATCCTTCATGGGGAACTTTTTAGGAGTGATGCCCAAGTGTAAATAAGGGTCTGATTCATGCTGAATTGTAATCATTTGAATGGAGAGATTAATTTGTATTCAGGGCAGCACTGACCGAGCTGCCAAGGAAATGGAAACTCGTCACCCCTCTTGGAGGAGACAGAGAATGATGGTCAGAGAGACTGTCTCTAACTTCTCTCTCTGCTCCAAAGGCAATGCAAATTTGCAAGAGTCCTTTCTTCATGAGTGATCCTAACTAGTTCATGATTTTGGACAGGAAAAGAATGAACAATCAAAAATTTTCAATATAAGAATACAAAGAAAGAAAAAAGAAGAATACAAAGAATCAGGATATCTAATATTGCAAGTACGTAGCAAACACTTGTTGAATGAAAAAAAAGATGTCTAATAAAAGATAAAAGAGAGAAGGTTTAAACTATGGTAATTTCCACTTTAGCAGTCATTACCATTATAAAAATATGACTTGTTAACAGCATGGCTTATTGATAGCATCAGAGTTAATACAAGAAAACTCCTTATTCATGCTGATCTTCAGCAGGGAACTTACAGTAAACATAACTAGGTTTCCAGAAGTCTTCTCCCCCAACAAATAATACATACTTTCTTAGCGCAGCAGTAGGTGAGAGGCAGAGGGACTCATTACTGTGGGGTTTCATACCACGACCTGCCCGATATAGCTGCTTAAATTTATCTAACCCTAGAAAAACGGCAGGACTCCACATGCCTCATACATCTGTTCCCTCAGACTTGTGATCATGTGTCCATTCAACTAAACAAACAAAACCAAGAAAGATGCTCTAGAATTTTGGCCAGGAAAGTTTCAAATCAATATAAACTTTTCTACCTTTCTTGTCTAAAATTCAAAAACTGTAGAAAGAAATCCATGCAATCTTTTACCTACCCCAGGCAATGCTACAGAAAGAAAAAAGAGAAATCACGGAGGGGAATAATTTTCTTATTTCACTCACAGTTTTAGATTTTTGGCCATTGGTAATGGTCACTGAGACTCAAGTCACCGACATTAATGTCACTGAACCTTCCTGATTTTGGCTTAAATAAGTGTATTTTTTTTTTTTAAGTTTGTGCCACCAGTTCGATGCCTTCATTGGAATCAGTCATCAGGGTGCACATGCACCAGCCTTGTGTACTTTTAATGAAAATAATTCGCATTATCTTAAAGACCAACTCCATTTACACGGGGCAATCTGGTATACGCAAATTGTGTTCGAAGTGAAATAAGAAGAAGTAGGGACGTAAGTGAACATCATTCAAAGTTAATATATTTTGCCCTTGACAACCAAATTTAATTTACATTTTTCTTGTTATAACAGTAGACACATGTACACCTGCCCTGACAATTATGGCTCCAACAAAAGCATCTCTTTATAAATTCAAGAGAGTGCTAATCACGAGCTTTATGGAATTTTGTAGTACTCACCTTGGTGCCATACAAGTGCGAAGATGAAAGAGACCCAAATTCTAAGTAATGATGAATAATTCATCCTGGAATTTTAAAAAGAAAAAGAAAAAAATCCCTAGCTTGCCAGAGTAAACAGAACACCAGGTGCATTTGGTGGCAAATCCCAAGACACATCACAACATCATAGAGCATTCACATAGCAGCATCAACAGTTCTGAGTCAGGCTGAAGTGCCCTGGATGCTGGCAGGGCCTCTTAAGTTCAATACTTTGTGGACAAATTAGATTCCCCCATGAGAAGCAAGTTGGAAGTGTAATGAATCACTTAAGTTGTCAGGAAATTATATAGAATCAATGAGCAAACAACCAGTCAAGGAAAGGCAACTCCACTCCAGCTACTAGAGCCCTGAAAACGAGCACCTCACTCTAAAGATGCCTGGTGTGTCTCTAGAACAGACATCCATCCTTTGTGAGACCAGGCTATCTAATTTTCACAGCAGCTTTCATCCAAGATGCAGTAAAAGTCAGTTGAAGTACATGTGGTCCTACAGGTCGGAGGGTTTAGAGTTTGCTGCCCCCTCCTCTAAGGGCCTCCCAGGTGGCTCAGTGGTAAAGGATCCGCCTGCCACTGCAGGAGATGCCGCAGACTCGGGTTCGATCCCTGGGTTGGGAAGATACCCTGCAGGAGAAAATGGCAACCTACTCCAGTATTCTTGCCTGGAAAGTTCCATGGACAGAGGAGCCTGGCGAGCTCCATGGGGTTGCAAAGAATCAGACACGGCTGAGTATGCACACACATCCCCTTTTCTAAAGTATGGAGCCAGGTCATCATTCTGAAGTGCTGACCAAAGTCACAGGCAGTATAAGACTCTGTCCACTGACCATCCAAATGTGAAATAAAAAATAGACACATAACAAAAAAAGAATCATGTCAGGATGGTTCCTTGAAATTACAATACAAATAGATTACAGTACAAAAGCAAGTCATTAGTCGCAGCAAATTAGTTAGAGAAAGAACATCACAAAAGTGAACTTGTTTTCATTTTAGTTACAATCCGTTGAATCAGTGGCTTTACCCTTGGACAGTCTGTGCTGCTATGTAGAGCTAAAATGCAAGCTCCCAGTTATACATACATCTGGAACCGAAGCGAGTGCAGAGGAAACCCTGAAGCTTGCTCCCGGCAGCATTCTTAAAATCCTTCCCTTATTATTGGAAGCTATCACAATTCATCAGCCAAACTTCCAAGGAAAAATCAGTGAACCTCCTCTGTGAGTTTTATTATAAATCTTCAGCTGTCAAGCACATGCACTGAAATCTCAAGCACATCATAAATATTCGTCAGTTTTGCTGAAGACGTGACTAAGACTTCAGCAGAGATCACACACAGTTTTTAGCAGAAGGAGATGTCAGGCAGGTTTAAGACTGAAGTCCTTAGGGAAACAGTTCAGAGAGCAGGAAGGATTCATTTAAATATTTGTATTTATGAAAAATGTCACTAACCTGTTCGGCAGGGACTGGAGGAATTGAGTCGGAAATATTAAGCCAAATCTTGGTAAACCCGGAAAAAATTAGGTAAAACAAGAATTCATGTCAGTTCTCCCCCACTTGCTGCCAATTATTTCTGATTCCTGAAATGATGTCTGAATCCCCTACTCTTAAAACCAAAAATTCAGTTAGTCCTGTGCTAGAGTCAGATAAGTGTTGAGTTGCAATCAAGTTTTTTTCCTATTGATTAAGGAAAAGTAAATCTAAAGATCAGTTTCAGGATTGCGTAGAGACGTTCTTTTCCTGAAAAACTAGACCTTTTTCTCCCCCCTCCCCACTCCCACCCCTTAAAAAAAAGTAGATTCAGATGGAAATGTCAGTTACTTGGTTGGAGCTGAAACCTTGGTCCTTTCTGATCAGAATCACTTTGCACTGAAAACATAAAAGAACCCCCCCCCCCCTTTCTACCTTTGTACCAAAAAAGGGAACTGTATAACGTTACAAAATTAGCATCCACCAGCAAAGGATTAAAACTCCAAACAAAGCTGTGCCTCCAACATTTAAATGAAGTTGGTTTGCTACTAAAGTCTTTGTCTCTCTGGTTTTGAACAGTTGCCACTGATACACTCTACTCTGTTTTTTCACAGGTATGCATGAAGTAATTAAAGAAATGCTCTCAAAAGTTTCTAGGTTTTATTCCTGCCACTGTCTCTCTGACTCACCTCAAGGCAGAGGATTAGGCCAGGGAACGGGTAAGCAGCGTGAGGCATGATCTTTCACAAGGGAAAAATCAAAGGCTCTGAACACCTCCACAGATGCCCAGCGAGGGTCCTCGGAGGGTGTGGGGGAGATAGAACCCCTCCTGATAAATTTTGCTCTATGTATTTAAACATCATGAACAAGGCTAAAACCGTTTCTAGTTCTGTGGATGCAGAATGAGAAACATTGGCTAAGGCAGAATCGAAGTTTATTATCCAAAATTACTAAAGTGAGATTTGTTTTAAAAAAAGGAAATCAAATGTAGCAGGGAAAAACTCTCTGTAAATTAATAGGAATTTAAAAATTGCTCCAAATTTATCTCTGACCAGACATTTAAACGTCAACTGTGTCAAAAGACATAACTCCAGTTCTGAGTACGTTGTCCTAAAATGGACAAGAGGTTTGGGGAACTGATTTTTCAGTCTAAATTAGTCAATAAAATTTTTTTCCAAAATCCTGTGGTAATTCAGTAGGGTTTTTACCCTACACTCTATATATATTTACTTTTAGATGTGTCAAATAACCATTTATCTTCCTCTGAGATTCACATATTTATATAACAGAAAGTCTGACTTTGGGGGTGTCTGTTCCAAACAAAATTAAGCTCAAATCCAAGACTCACCTTGAAAAGCATTTTCCTTGCCCAGTCTTTATTAAGGTGTTAGTCCTGTAGTCAACCTAAATGCCATGAAGCAAAGTAGTTGGTTCTACTTTAACAACTCCTAGTGGTATAATAACTGCTTTAGTCTTCTTTCTTCGTGCACTCACGGACATTTGTATTCAGCCGTTTGATCATATTAAATGCTTCATCCTTCTTGAGGCAGGACTGCTCCTGGGATACATGCCACCTGGGTTTAACAAGATACACAAGATGGCAGTGTCCATGGCTCAGAATGGCTGGTTCTGGGTGTGAGCAAGTGCCAGGTGCCTGAGAGCAGACGGGGCTGATGTATCGCTGGTTGGGCTGGGGAGCCAGTTGGTGAGTGTGTATTTCAAGTGCACACTTAGTGGTCACAGAAGGGAAAAAATGACAAAAATCTCTTTTTATGCCATGTCGGCAGGAGGACTTATTTTGTTGAAGGGGTGATGTGAGCCAAGATTCGACAAGATTTAGACCTAAGGTGGTGTGGGAGTGGCTTGGAGCCAGTAACCCAAGACTCTTTGTGTTTTACAAAGACGGCATAGATGGATGCTGCTTTTTAGGCAGGAGGAAAGAGAGTTCAAACAAAATACAAAGCAAAACAAAAAATCGAATTCCCTAAAAACAAAGTCAGCCTTATATACTGACTGCTTTTGTTTCATTTTCTGAAGTTTCTTACACCTTTTGTGAAAGAAATAGATTTGAGCTAGTTTGAAATGATGCAGTGAGAAGTGTGGTAGGCTGCAAGCCTCAAACTGTGAGCTCCTCAATCAGGCTCAGCCTCGTTGCTGGAGCCAAGGGAGAGCCTCCCAGTGGCTGGACCACGGGGAGGTACAATGGCCTCGTCACTTTCCACCCGAAGCAGGACTCCTCTAATGGGCAATCTTTGCTCTAGAGAACCTAGCTGAGGTGACAAAGACTGTGTCAAGCCTTCAACTGAGGCAGTTGGCTGAGGCTTTGGCTCTATTATGCCAAAGTCAGGGTCTAATTGAGAAAACCTTGCTCTTGTGTATATAATTTTATGTATTAGGATTTTATATATAAATCACTGGGCTTCCCTGGCGGCTCAGATGGTAAAGAGTCTGCCTGCAGTGTGGGAGACCCAGGTTCGATCCCTGGGCCAGGAAGATCCTCTCTAGAAGGGAATGGCTATCCACTCCAGTATTCTTGCCTAGAAAATTCCATGGACAGAGCTGGTGGTCTAGACTCCATGGGGTAACAAAGAGTCGGACATGACTGAGCAACAAGAATTCATATACATACATACAACAGAACAGAATTTTGGACTCTGTGGGAAAAGGCGAGGGTGGGATGTTTCGAGAGAATAGCATCGAAACATGTATATTATCTAGGGTGAAACAGATCACCAGCCCAGGCTGGATGCATGAGACAAGTGCTCAGGCCTGGTGCACTGGGAAGACCCAGAGGAATTGGGTGGAGAGGGAGGTGGGAGGGGGGATCGGGATGGGGAATACATGTAAATCCATGGCTGATTCATGTCAATGTATGACAAAAACTACTACAATATTGTAAAGTAATTAGCCTCCAACTAATAAAAATAAATGGAAAAAAAATAAAGTTTATACCTCTGGAATTTGAATCTTGAGAATTAAAAAAAAAGAATTCATATACATACATACATATATATATATATATGTGGGAGGTGGGGGGAAGAGAGAGGTTGAAATGCCCAAATTACTGGGACAGATGGCAGAAGAAGGCATTAAAAGTCTCAGAAGAATGAACGTGTTAGATGTCCACAGGCATAGAATTCCAGGTAAAAATAGCATCTGACTAGGGAACCTACTTAATGAAAAAGGGATGTGACAGTGTGCCCCAAATTGTAGCAGGAGCCACAGGTTGGAGCAGCACCCCGAGAGGAGGAACCCACGGGTCCGGGTACCAAGGTGTGGAAGCAGGAGTAGCCCCACTGGTGATCATTCCCAAGGATTATTGAGAGACTTTGGCTCCCCAGCCCCTCATCTCTAGGATGCGCAGAGTTTGACATCCTGGTTCCCAAGAGGGCGTACTCTCACCAGAGGACATGACAAGAGTCCTACTGAACTGCAAGCTGTGGCTGTGACGCTGTCTGGGCACTCCGGGCTCCCTGTGGCAGAGACTAGTGGGACAGATGAGCCACCATCCCATCAGGAATTCCTGACTCTGATGAGCAGGAGGCGCGGCGCTGCTGTTGCATAT